ACTTTAGGAATTTTCTATTTGACCAAACCCACTTTTCTTCCGACTAACTTTTATTCCAGACTACAACGCTTACTGAGCTGTGTAATGGCTAGGAATATGTATCATAAATCTTGACCTCCTCAGTTGAAAAAGTCATTTATTGTTTCTTTACATTACACCTTAACTTTGATATTGCACACTCAAATGATTCAAGATACAAAGCCAATGCTACTAAGATACCTATGGCCATAATTATGCAATCTACTCGCATTTGCTTTTTCCAAAGACCCCATGGTTAAAGAGTAAAATACTCATAAAATGTCTAGCTGTCATTTCATTTATTTTAATTTATTCAGCTGTATAGTGTTACTAACTCTCATACAAAGAATATGAGTAAATGCAGAGTGCATAATCTGATATGTTACAAATATTATACGTGTATTATGCAAAACTTCTCCGACGCATTTGCAAAACAGACTGGATAACTGTTTTAAATGCATGAAAATCATTCAACTTGATTCCTGTATCAATATAATGAGCTTACGAGAACAAACCTATTTCGTTTATTTTCATATAACCGGTGGACGTAACTAAACATGGTTAGAAAAATGAAAATTCTTTGGTTAGACAATAAGAACTAAGATGAACAATATCTTATCAATGTAAAATAGAGCTATTGTGAGTAATGAAATCTTAAGATGGAACTAAGCAGATACTTAATAGATTGTTCAAATAAGCGAAAATAGGATAATTAAATGAAGGAAATTTAAGATGAGAAAATATGTAAATTAATGTTATTTGGTGCTTTCAGTGCTTGATAGTTTAAATGAGAAGCTCATTTATTGGTCTGGACAACATAATAAGGGGTTACTTTAAGTAAAAGTAACAGAACTACAATGAGAGCTTCGTAAGTAAACTAGCTAGTTCAAGGAACACAACTCAACCAAAATCATTTACTTGAACTATAGAGCTCCTACATTATTTCATTATAATCCTAGGTTAATTTGAAACAGAATTGATTACCAGGCCTAAGCCCTAGTAAGGTAGATAAAGAGGTTTAGCTTTATTCTTTTGGATGTGCTGAGCTGTAGATTTTGAATTTGTATGGTTACACCCTATTTTTTGGAACATGATACTTGAAAAACAAAATATAATGGCTAAGCTGTTGACTATCATATTCACATTAGTATTACTATTCTATTCTATTTGTAGTGAACAAAAGGAGGGAAACATACAATAATTTTATAGTTCATTCGACTTCCGTAACAAACAAGAAGACTTCAAATAACCATCTGTCTTCTCAATTAATTGTTATGAAAGAACAATGTAATCATTATCTGCCGGTGAATAAGTAGGGTTAATTGTGATAGACGACAGTGACCATTATTGTTATGTCCTTGGATGTCTGACTTTTCGATCACACGACTTATCTACCAATCCGAATACGACTTATACGAATCTTCACACTAGGCCAACCAATGACGTTCAACCGGTGTGGGCAGTTTGGCGTCCTTATTGGTCCTATGTCCTACGAGCCCTTCCACTTGAGTCCAGAACAAGATACCAACTTCCGAATCAGAGCAGATCGTTTATTTCAGACATACCCGGTTTATATATCAATCACACAGACCGCAACGTACCATAAAATAGGAAATAATACTTGTACACAAATAAGCCCAAAAAGTGGCTGTGAATGAGGGAGGCAGTAGTTAATAAACTGAACATAACTTAAGAACCGTAAATCGTACAATAATAAATTATAGGCCAAAATAAAGCTTATCATAAAAGGAATATAAATATACATAGTGTAATTGTTGAGTAGTTATACAATAAGAATATTTATAGAATATTAGTCCATGAATAGTCCTTGGAATTTACCTGTAGTTTAATCTTCACCGGATATAACAATTATTTTTAGAGGATTATTCAAGAATCGAAAATTTACGATCAAATTCAAAATGCCAGAACTTCCAAATATCATAAAGATAGAATACAGTAGAATCTAATTTAATAAGATTGTTCTACAATTATAACATTTATTTGACAGTGGGTTTATCATTACTCCTTTTTAGCATGAAAAAACGAACACGGATAAATTTATTTATTCACTTTTAAAAGTTACTTCCAAGATTTCCCTACGGTAAATGATATCTAAATGTTTTATACATATATATATTTTTAATGTATACCGATCCAACACTTTACTCAATGAACAATGTTAGTTGGTCTAAGAGTAGAATGAAACAAAGCTAGTCGCGACTAAACTAAACCATGAATTCGTGATGTAGGGAGATATTGACAAACTATTTATATTTCAAACGCTAATTACGGTCAGTAATCCATGACTTTGAATAACATATCTCAGAATGGGATATAATACTTCAGTTGAATTTACGCTTTATCTTCTCTTTGATACTAACTTTCAAAATTATTGTGCTAATTTTTTGTTATTCTACAAGATCAATTTCTCTTATAGAATCACATCCTCTAAACGAAATCTTTTCTTCTTCTTCTCCTACTGATATTATTATTATTTCAATGACTTCGAGATATACCTTGATAATTTCATCTTGTTGTAGTAATACACTCGGTAAGAAATAAAACTGATGTACACTTGTATCAAAGGTTTCACATTACTCATAACTTACTGAATCTACATCTAAACAACATTAGAAAAAAACAGAAGTTATTATTTCTTTCAAACGTTCCTTTTCTCATATTTTTCTTTATCTTACCTGAATAAATTCATTGACAATGATACGTGTTAACAATCATTATGGGTGTGGTAAATTTACATTATGAATGAATGTAAATTGTTATTTCATATCATACATTTATATTGTTTTCCGTTATATGTTGAAGTGAAGAACAAAAAAACAGGGGATAAAGGATTAGCTATTTTTTTTATTTAACAAATAAAAATCATTAAAAAGAACAACTCTTCATATATATCGTGGAAAATATTTTTCATAAAATAAAATTGATATAAAATATATAGATTGTTTCTGCTAGGATTCAAGCTATCACGAGTTCACTTAATCGGCGAACGAGAACAAAAACTCGGTGACCAAAGACCAATAAGCTAGTTATTGATGCGTCCCAGCCCCGCTAACTAGAGGGAGAAGTCCAAGCTTGGAATGGGGAAGTATATACTGCAAAACAGCCAGAAATGAGCGATAACAACAAACACAATTCAAAACGTATATATACAGTACAAAACCGTCCTTGGGGAGAGTTACCAAATAGCATACTAAAAGACGCCACGGACCAATAGCATTTAAGATATTTCCCAGTGAGAAATTCGACATGAAGATGACAAAAGCGTCTTTGGCGCGTAAACAAAGAAATTCAAATTTTATAAATAAAATTACAAAATTAGGTCCCTTCTCAAGTGAGTTCTGGGGATCTAACGTCCTAAACAGTTTCTTTCTCTTATCATCTCATTATCAGTGATTAACTAAGTAAAGTGTATGTTTCTTCACCTTAGATGATTGTTTAGAAAAAAAACGTCTTGGTTAATTCGTTATAAAGTCTGAGAAAAGACATAATGATCATAAAAATAAACAAAAATCCTAAGTAAATTTATGTATATTGATTGTTTTAGTTTGTATTTGCTATTTATTAATTAATGTCAAATTACAACTATCACTAGAGCATAACCTTCATCAGTTCACTTTTTTTAGGGTAGTATGTAAAATGTAATAAACCTTCTTGTGTACTTCTTTATAGTTAGTTCAAAAAAATTAAAGCCTGATCATGATGAATAGACTTATCAAATTAATTTGGTTAGATACCTTGAATTTATTATGAAAATATCTTATTTCAATATTTATCAATCTACGCCATGAGTGATTATGATCGATGAATTTTAAAGTGTAAGGATACAATATGAAATTATATTCTTATTCTTTTTATTAAGGGAACTCAAGTTTTATTATCCATGATCGGGAATTTTGTATTGATTTCAACTGGATATTTTTAACTTATATATATTCATATTTTGTTAGGTATTTTCAAAGAATAAAGTATTTAACCACATAAGACAATACAAATGGTTGAGACCATGAGTCATTTGAAGGTAGGCCATCATGGAAAACCTGGAAGCACTGGACGGCCGTTTCGTTCTAGTATGGGACTCCTCAGCAGTGCACATCCACAACTCCGCCTTGCGAAATTCGAAACCACGACCTATAGGTCTCGCGCGCTAACGCTTAACCTCTAGACCACTGATCCGGTATCCAACGGGGTTCGCGTGCAAGATCGGTTGGTCTTGGGTTTGAACCTCGCGAGGCGGGATAGTGAATGCGCACTGCTGAAGAGTCCCACAATAGTACGAACCAGCCGTCCAGTATTTCCAGGTTCTCCACAGTGGTCTACCTTCAATTGAATCATGATCTCAACTATTAAAATTACTATAATATCCGCATAAATCCCGTTCTGACAATACAAATGGATTTGAATGTAAAACGTTTGAGTTATGTAAAGTTTGATGAAAATTATAATGAAAGTTATAATATGTACTCAATCATACTCAATATATTAATTCTCGTAAGATGAAATTAAAACTGTGAGGCTGGTTAGTCAGCCAGTCACAAAGATAATCATTTTCATGTCGATTTTTTTAAGAAAATTGTTTCATTGAATCGTCGATAACAAACCGGGGATAAGCAAAAAATCACACTGAAGATTTTTCCAAAATTTTGAATATAAATACCTTTCGAGAAAGAGTATTGGGACTGCAGGTGTACATTTAAGCATTAATGCCGTTGAATGCCGGCTCGAGTGATCTAGACCTTAAGTGTTTGAGCGTGAGGCCGAAGTTTCTGGGTTCAAGTCCCGTGTGTGGAGAACGTGGATACACATTACTGATCATTAAAGAACATAGTGAATATTGAAAACATAACAGTTTTCCAACTATGGCCACAAAAGATATATTAGGTTCCTGTCATATTAGATAAAAACAAATTGTACAAGCCGATGAATACTTCCTATCCCCACCGAGCGTAACTATCCATGTGTTGTTACCATTGTGGAAAGTTTCCTCGTCGTATTATGGTGTCTAAAAATGTATAAAATTATATTTAACATTATTAGATATCACGTGTTAAGTTGACGAATCAAGATCACTGTTACTTGAGTTGAGAATTTCTACCAAAGAATTGTCAAAAATATTTTCAAACAAATCAGTTATCAGACGTATTATCTGGTGAATAAATTCTAAGATAGTTTAAGGTTCATCCATTTATCAAATCAAACTAGTTATGAGAAAGTCAAATTTGGGTAGAATACACATTACGTTTGATTTACTTGGATATAACGGTTGTCTTTTTCAAATGAGTGACAAGACCAATTCAGTAAGGATAACACAAACTACTGTTATGGAGTGTTCGCTTTCAATGGAAATTAGATACCGAAGTTTTGGATAGTAAGGTATCTTCATTCCTGTAACCCAAATACTGTACAAGAAAAGTTTTTGAAATAAATTTAAAGATTTGAATGAGATGTTTTCGTAACAACTACGTGGAATACTCACAGAGAGAGAAAGATATGATGTTAATCACTTATGGACAATGTATCTGGAGTATGATGAATTTTCAGAAGCGAAACGTTAGTTCGAAATTAAAACTTTAACTACTTAATAATAAACAGTAGTCAAAAACCCGTGATCAACAATTTTATTTGCCATCTGATGGAGATGATTGCTTTCGTATATACAAACAGTAAAATACTGAGGAAATTCATGCGGAACGTTGTAACTACTATTAACTGGTTAGCAATGGTTTTCTAAAAGGCTTTGGTTTTTCTTACTGATGTTAGACCTCCCTCGAAAACGTCTACAAGAAAAGTTGTAAGTTGATAAACGTTGATTCACAGAAGATAGGAATCTGGTAGCACTATCTAAGTTCTATGTAAGGATAGTTCCCACCAATCATTGAAATAGACTAACGAACCTAGAAACTTGCAAGAAGACTTCATCCTTAGATACCTTATTCGACCTTTCAAACTGTATCCGGTAGCCCAAAATTCACAGTTGTTGAATATATATAAGGAAGAAATTTCTTCCAAATTTGTTGAATCCTGTCTAACTTGATATCCAACATGTTTCGAATATACACTGGAACGTGAAATAACTCTCTGCTAAAACTTTCACATAATCTATTTGCTAATGATGCAATTAGTTGAGTAAATTGCATTGTTTATAAATATTATAAAACAGTTTATTCAACTAAAAAATCCTTTTGGACGAGTTCATTCTCGAAACCGTGTATTCATATACGAGATTGACAAATTACGGGTTAATGTTAGGTCCCGATAAACACAATGAATGTTAACTTTGGGATCCTTTTATGGACCAATACTAAATGTATATTTTTATTGAATAATTTTTAAGTAACTAAACTATTCATATTCATGGTCCTCTTATTATAAGCTCTATTTTGGCCTATGAACCATTATTATACGTTTTACCATTCTTGAATTATGCCCTGTCTATTAGTCACTGCCTTCCATATTCACAGCCGCATTTGGTCAAATTTTATACAAATGTTATTTTCTATTTTATGCTACGTTGTGGTCTGTTTGATTGGTATATAAACTCAGTATGTTTGAAATATAAGGATTGATATTACAGAGGCTGAGACTGGTGTTCTGGACTTAACTGTCTGGGCTAAGCGGAAAGCAGGACCAATCAGGACTCTAGGCTGCTCGCACGTGTTTTACGCGTCCTTGGTTCGATCGATAATTCGCTGCTTCTGATTGGTGGCTTTGGGCTATAACAGTTAACGAATAATTGCACGTTTTAGGATTCGATTAGTTACTATATGATATCTGTCCATATAACTTTAGATAAATATACAGTTGTTGAATCCCAACAGTTAGAAAACAAAATCTAGCTCATTCACGAAGTTCACTGTATCGTAAAATGTGTTTACTTTTAAATACACCTTCCTAGGAAACGGGTACCTACTGAGACTGATTGAAAGAAATCAAAAGAGAAACTGCTTTTGCAGTTTAAGCTTAAGTGTGGTTTTTTAGTCTTCAATTTAAAAGGGACATCCCTGATGTTATGCAGAATACCGTATAGTGAAGCGAATTATAAAAACATTTTAAGCAGCAAATCTCCATATAAGTTTTCATAGTCGTTCCCTTATATGCCACTATGTGAATAATATTTTCTCAAATTTGGTCAACTCTATATGTTCTAGTGAAGCTACGTATGTAAGTGGTTTTTCGAAGCCACTTTTTTATTGCATATGGGAGCATGTACTACGGTGGCTTATCAAACGTGAAATATTTTGCAACGAGATATTTGGACCCAATCACATCATATAATAACATTCACAAAATCCAGTCAAAGTAGCCAAGAGGTGTACAACTTAACCCATTTTATGTTGAGGAAGGTTTGACTACTATCAGTTAAAAACCTATGCTATGGGTGCCTTACTTTACCGAGATCACGGTATATTAATACATTTTTGTCGACTTAATTATTTTTATTTAATTTTCACTTTAACTTCCAAAAAATGGTTTTTATTTGTCTTATTTTATTATAAGTAACAGCATGATGCTCTTTTCATTTAGTGTCCTGATGACCATTGGGAGGATATGTACATCGGGAAATAGTATAAGAATAATTGATTGTATACTCTATACAGTCTTTCTTCGTAGTTTGTAACTTAAGTGAATAAACTTCATAATACTGATACCTTATTCCTGTTTCTCAGTCGATATGGGTTTGTGACCATGGAAATATTCACCACAGACGACTGAGAATAAAACGTTTTAATAATCAATAATGATAGAACATCCTAAATCTCTTTAGAACTAACAGAATAAGCTATATGAAATACTGTTGAAAAAAACATTAACGTCGACAAATAAAAGTGTCTCATGTTGTGCGATCACTTTCGATTGTAAAATTGATTTCAGATGTGATACTTAATATGGCATGTGTTGAATACTATTAAGATCTACGGTAACAGAGATAAATATGATCGTTTCAATCTAATAATGTTACTTTAGAAGTTGAAACCCTTTCAGCACGGCAAATATTGTCACTACACTCTTTCAAAAGAACCCTAATACCTCATGTATTATAAATGTTTAATAAGCCATTATCAATGTTTCATATGATGTATCAATGTATATAGATAGTCGAAGGAACCAAAGATCACTCTATGACGTTAAAATGTGTGGTGAACAATGAATAAATATGATTTTATATCATAGGAATATATACAAACCGATTTAAGTATTTCACAGTCATTTACTGTCTGTATTCACTTAAAGATATAGATAATTGTTCGTAAATCTAAAATCAACGTTGATCGTAATACGATTCCCCAGTTCAACTTAATATGAATTCATGTAAACAATATAAATCATCCCAACATAGTGCATGTGATGTTAAGTCATTTTGATAAGTGGTCGATTCGCAGCTTGATCAATAGAATTTAATCAACACTAAAAGGATAAGACGAACATGAAACTAGTCACCACTCAAGGACCAATCAATTGTAAATGAAAAACTTGCGGTCTGAATATTTTAGAATAGTTTGAAACTAAATGCTAAATGTTGTCAACAGAGTGAGTAATATTTTGTTAAAGATTGTCATTCTGTAAAACAGAATTTATTATAAATGTAGTAAACAAGATTATATTCAAGCATTCTGCAGAAACGAAGTTAAAAACTACCACAGTATTAGAAAGTTCAAAGTCATTAATTTGCATAGACCCAGGACAGGACTGTTCTATCCCGCTATTATTTTTGCTAATGCAAGAGTTGATGTTTATATTAAATAGAAATGTGTTACACATTATCTGTGAGGCTACAGGTAGGCATATCCTCTTATATAACAGTAATTTTATAGGAAGCATGATCGACCATTGATAAACCTAAGATCAACCTTATTTTACATAATTATAAAATGGTATAGTACATGGATATTTTTCTATTATTGAAGTAGTCTAAATTTATAAATTTATGAGAGATGTAAATACATCTTTGATAAATCATATGCCAAGAAAACCAAAACACTAGCCTCCTGGGTGCAGACTAAATCGAAAATGTTAACTTTCTAAATTTCCTTCTTGGTGAATCACTGTGTCATTGATTAATACGTACCTGTTAGAAATGAGCGAGCAGATGAAACCTCAAAAACTCTTCGACGATTTAGTATAATTTTTTAATGTGTATTTAATAAATTGTTAGTTTAAGATAGTTCTATACCATCCTAACCGTAATCCTTCATTTAGCTTATTCACTATTCAGATATCTTTTAAGGTTAATAAATTACAGCTAATTAATTAGATATTTGTTACTCAGAAAAGTATTCCAAATGACAGTTATATACTGATTGATACATTTTCATTTCTGATGCGTTGTGATCTTGTATTTTATGCATATAATCAAGTGAGATTTTGAGCCTGAAATACATTGAAGAACTTTTTTCTTGTTCTGATGGTAGAGACTTACGTAGTCCAATCAGCGCTAGCATAGCTGAGATGTTTGGATCAGTGTTAATGATACAAGTTGAAAACATAACAATACTACAGTCTGTGTCTTCATGAGATGAATCTTAAATATTATCGTTTTTCGCTGAATCGTCTCACAAATTTCGAAAGTGCATTCAAAAACGAATAGGTCTCATATGTTATTTGGAACTTTATTAGAGATAATTAAGTCCTTTTCTCTATATTTTTACGTGAAACGTCTAACGTGATGAATATTTAGACAATACCTAAACAGCATTCCTAACCAACAAAAGCATTTCAAATGAGTAGTAAACTTGTGTAAGATTTGGTAGTCATATATTTAAACATCATTTCACATTATTTAGACACAGAAAACACAGAAAACGATTTTTAAATATTTTCAGTAGCTGTTTATCGGCAAATTCGACGAACAGTATTGGGTTTATGAATGATGAATTTAAAATATTTTTTACAGCAAGTTTAGGAATTCAGCAGATAAAACACTTAAGTCCTCAATTCTCATGATATGAACAGATTAGCCTAATCACAAAATAATACTGTTTGAACCATAACTTACGATTATATGCGATTTGGTAAGAATTCTACAGATAACATTTCTAAAATCAATCTGTCACACTATATATCAAGTAGTCATGTTCTTATCTTTCAGTAAAGATTTCATATATTTATACCTTAGATCCTTCAAAACAGTTTCTGTTTGTTTGTTTGTTTCGCTTTACGGTTAACAACCTTGAAAATATCGCGTCAATTGTCGGGTTGTTTTTTTTCCGCGTTATAGTGACGATATTCGTTGGTTTTAAGGTTCGAAAATGATACCACGTTTGTCGATATACCGATAGTACCTTAATGAAAAAAATAGTTATGAAAATCAAAGCAAAACATAGCATTTTAACTGCACACAAAACGTCATCTTAATACCTTGAATGAAAAGCACATCTGTTAATGAATACCCTGGAAGGCTGTTTTAAAAAAAAAATAGAAAAAATAACTCAGTAACAATAACCTATTTTTAAGACAAGGAAAGGAATATATCATATGAAGAGCCAATCAGAGGTAGCCCAATGAGGTCAATCAACGGCAATCAAAGTAACCTAAAGGACAAATGTATTTCATTGGCTAAGAAACGGATCAATTTCTTAAGAATTAGAGTGGCATAAATGAGTGTTTCTACATTTTATTCGGTAGCCCAACATACTTTCTCGCTCAAGTAGTCAGTTTTTTGTTTTTGGGGGGGGAGCTAACGTATAGCATGTCGTGCATCAGTATCAGATTTCGGATACCGCCTGTCACGACAACATGTATCGTTAAAAGTTTTAACACTCAATGGATATGAATAGTAAACTTTTAAACCAACCTACCAATTATTCAGAAGTTCACTTGATATCAAGTAGTCAAAAAAATCTCTTACAAGTCTCATAAATATATCATTGTCATAAAATTCTTTGATAAAGGAATAAGTTAATTGACCATAAAATTAGTTGTCAACGAAATAATAAATGGATTAAATACGGTGTTCCAGTCTATGATTGAGTAAAAACGATTTTCTGATATTCTTTTAGAATTAAGCAGAAACTGTCGGAGATTTTCTACAAGATTGATTTCAAGTTAATTAAAATAATAAAATACTTCAATTAACTTATGAGAAAAGAATTTATCAGAATTAATGTCTGATAAAAGTTATCGGTAAAACTATACCTCGAGAAACCAATCAAAATCAATATATCCAGCGTTAAATATAGGTATGAATTTAAAACGTCATCATGGATAGTTGCTGGATACCCTGATTTTGACCACACCTTGTATTTTGTAAAGGTTAAATGATTATTTTCTTGTGTAGTAACTTTTAATGGTCAGGATATTAGAGTTAGGAGTGTTAAATCTATGAGCTAAAGGTTAAGTTTGTTGTTAAGAGTTAAAGTTTAGTCGGATCACGGCACTATGATTGTCCGCTTAATGTATCAAGATATAACTCTTAATCCACTGTTATCCTATCATGCTTTTTAAGTTTAAAACTCCATAAAATCTGCGTACTACTTCATTACTTCCTGACTTTTAAGATCGCTGAAAGCCATGAATATGGAATAAATTACTGAATCATTTAACAAATTTTCATATCAATTCAAAGAAACAAAGATAAATATTTCTTTAAAGTGAATGGAACATTTCGTAGAGTAATAAGAACTGATTAGCAGAATGTCATTTATTCTACAATGTTAGTGTGATCATTGCTTGAGCAAGTATTAATGAATATTTAGTAGACTGATACCGGAAGACTTTTTTAGACAAAATAATTTCATAATGAAACATATATTTCATGAATACAATAAACCATAGAGATAAACAATGTACTTTCTGAATATATAATTTCTTCTATTCTAAAATGTAAACATTTTCAAGTTCTTTCTCAACCATACAAAATTCAATTTGTTTATCGTTTATTTTTTCAAACAAATAACAGTATATTCTTTGTTCAATTATAGTTATTGAGGTTGTTGAAATCATAAACCCATCTAAATTAGATAACCATTGAAAATTTGGAAGTGTTAGACCCTTGATAAGATAGTGATTTAGTATTGTTAGATAGTTTTATACTACAATAAAAACAATTTATTAATGCATGATCAAGTTTTTCAGAATTATCTTATTAGATTATTTCATAATCTCTATAAATAAGTTTTCAATTACTGAATGAAGATCAAAGTATAATTTCTATAGGTTATTCCATATATATTTTATACAAATTGACGAATTAATAAGTACATATTGGTTGATTACAAGGCAAACATACATAATCATATACCAAACAATTTGTCTTGAATTTCATATATACAGTAAACAAAACTATATTGTGAATGCATTATTATTTTTTTCTAAATATTTTAATGAATACAAAATTAATTATAATAATCAGTGAAATAATGAAAAATCTAAGAAAAGAAAGAAAGAAAGAAAAAAAAACACACAACACAACTGTTTATGCAAATGATTCAATGTGAGTGACGTGAATCGGTATGGAAAAAAAAGGAAATAAATAAATAACCATTATCCTTTCTTTTTTTTTTTGTATTTTCAAATGAAATCAATCGTATACTATTTTGATTGATAAATTAAATAAAGATTATCCTTATTTTCAATGAATCGTAATAACTTATCCAATGTAAAACGACCATAATAAACAAATATATACATATATACTTGTTTATATATATCATTATCATTGATAAACATCCTTTAGGGATAGGCTTTTTTTCTGTTGAATATTCACAAATAAATTAATCTATTAACAACTAATTCATTGGTGTATTAACTCCTATTAATTTACTGTCATTAATTTATTCATGTAACATCGAGTTAAATTATAATTAACATGATTAAAGTAATATATTTTATAATGATGAATAGAAAAAAAAATGTTTGGAAAAGTGATTATAATAGTTTAAACACAATGAAACATATCAAATTTATATTATCAATACAAAAGTGTATCATTTATAATAATAATAATAATAATAATAATGAGTTATGTAATGTAATTAAATCAATAAGGAAATAAAAAGCCGAATAATAATAAATTAATGGAATTAAAAAAAAGCAAGATAGTTAATAGTTATCATTTTCTAAATTGAAATTGTAATGAATATTGAAGTGAATTAAATAATAAATAAAAAGTATATACCGAGTTAACTCCGCCTGTAGCTCTTCTAGAGTTACTGCCGGTCCCAAGCCCGGGTAAAGGAGGAGGGTTGGGCATGGGGTTAGCGTCCCCATCCCGTAGAAAACTAACTCGCTAAAAAAACGCTTACCAGAAAAAATAATTCAAACCATTTTAACTCTGCCCTGAGAGTTAGAAGGTCTTCATTTAGAAGAATTATGACGCTTCATGGTGAAAGCCGAGTTCCTTCGGAAGCCACGAGGCCGATGCCCCTTCTAACAACCAGAGCAAAAATTTTTATAGGTACATGGAACGTCCGAACAATGTGGGAAACCGGGAAGACCAGTCAAATAGCAATGGAAATGAGGAGATACAACTTAGCAGTACTGGGGATCAGCGAAACTCACTGGACCCAAGCTGGACAGAAAAGACTAGCTACGGGAGAGATGCTGCTATACTCCGGTCACGAAGAGGAAAATGCTCCACACACTCAGGGAGTTGCTCTAATGCTGTCCAAAGTAGCACGAAATGCACTTGTAGGATGGGAATCCCACGGATCCAGAATCATCAAAGCATCATTCAAAACAAAGAAGGAGGGGATCTTAATGAATATTATCCAATGTTATGCACCCACCAATGATAGCAACGACGACATTAAAGATCAGTTCTACGAGCGGCTGCAGTCAGTCATTGAGAAATGCCCAAGAAAGGACCTCACCATTCTAATGGGAGATCTAAATGCCAAAGTCGGAATAGACAACATCGGATATGAAGATATTATGGGGCAACATGGACTGGGAGAGAAGAACGAAAATGGAGAAAGATTTGCAAATTTGTGTGCATTCAACAAATTAGTCATAGGAGGCACAATATTTCCACACAAGCGTATACACAAGGCTACATGGATCTCACCGGACCACACTACAGAGAACCAGATAGACCATATTTGCATCAACAAAAAATTCCGAAGGACAATGGAAGATGTGAGAACCAGGAGAGGAGCTGACGTAGCTTCAGATCACCACCTAGTTGTAGCCAATTTGAAACTGAAGCTAAAAAAGAACTGGACAAGTGGACAAACAGCAATACAAAGGTTCAATACAGCCTTCCTTCGAGATACTGTCAAACTCAATGAATTCAAGATAGCTCTCAACAACAGGTTCCAAGCCTTACAAGATCTACTGAAAGAAGAAGAAACTACTATGGAGGACAACTGGAAAAGCATCAAGGAAGCATTAACTTCAACGTGTCAAGAGGTTCTCGGTCTAAAGAAATACCATCATAAGGAATGGATCTCTACAGAAACACTGGACAAGATCAAAGAAAGGAAGAACAAGAAGGCAGCAATAAACAACAGCCGAACACGAGCAGAGAAAGTCCAAGCACAAGCTGAATACATAGAAGCAAACAAGCAAGTGAAGAGGAGCATTAGAGCTGACAAGAAGAAATACGTGGAAGAATTAGCAACGACGGCAGAAAAAGCTGCTAAAGAAGGAAATATGAGACAACTTTACGATACAACGAAGAAACTAGCAGGGAAATACAATAAACCAGAGAAGCCGGTCAAAGACAAGGAAGGCAAGCCAATCACTGAAATTCAACAACAGCGTAACAGATGGGTAGAATACTTTGAGGAACTCCTGAATAGGCCGGCTCCTATGAATCCACCGAACATCGAAGCAGCACACACAGATCTTCCTATAGATGTCAACCCACCAACGACGGAAGAAATTAGAGCGGCCGTCAGACAAATCAAGAACGGGAAAGCAGCAGGACCCGACAACATACCAGCTGAAGCACTGAAATCAGACGTCGAAGTAACCACAAGCATGCTTTACCCTCTATTCAAAAAGATTTGGGAGGAGGAACAAGTGCCAATGGACTGGAAAGAAGGGCACCTCGTCAAGATTCCAAAGAAAGGAGATCTGAGCAAATGTGAAAACTACAGAGGCATAACACTACTGTCAATACCAGGGAAGGTCTTCAACAGAGTTTTGCTGAACCGGATGAAGGATGCAGTAGACGCTCAACTTCGAGATCAACAAGCTGGATTCCGTAAGGATCGGTCGTGCACAGACCAAATTGCAACACTACGGATCATCGTCGAACAATCGGTTGAGTGGAACTCGTCACTATACATCAACTTCATTGATTATGAAAAGGCATTTGACAGTGTAGATAGGAGGACATTATGGAAACTTCTTCGACACTACGGAGTTCCTGAGAAGATTGTCAATATTATCCGGAACTCATACGACGGACTACAGTGCAAGGTCGTGCATGGAGGACAGCTGACAGATGCATTCCAAGTAAGGACCGGGGTCAGACAAGGCTGTTTACTCTCTCCCTTTCTCTTTCTTCTGGTGGTCGACTGGATTATGAAGACCTCGACATCTGAAGGAAAACACGGAATACAATGGACAGCTCAGAACCAATTAGACGATCTGGACTTCGCAGATGACCTAGCTCTTATATCACGTACACACGAACAGATGCAGATGAAGACAGCCAGTGTAGCAGCAGTCTCTGCATCAGTAGGCCTCAGTATACACAAAGGGAAAACGAAGGTCCTCAAATTCAAAGCGGAAAACAGCAATCCAATCACTCTTGATGGCGAAACTCTGGAAGATGTAGAATCCTTCACATACCTGGGAAGCATCGTCGATGGACAAGGAGGTTCAGATGCAGACGTAAAGGCGAGGATTGGCAAAGCAATGGCCGCATTCCTACAATTGAAGAACATATGGAATTCAAAACAACTTTCAACCAATATCAAAGTGAGAATCTTCAATACGAACGTCAAGGCAGTTCTACTGTATGGAGCTGAAACTTGGAGAACTACAACAACCACAATCAAGAAAGTACAAGTATTTATAAATAGCTGTCTTCGCAAGATACTCAACATCCATTGGCCAGATACCATCAGCAATAGCCTTCTGTGGGAGAGAACAAACCAACTTCCAGCTGAAGAGGAAATTAGGAGAAGACGATGGAAATGGATAGGACATACATTACGCAAATCGTCAAACTGTATCACGAGACAAGCCCTAACTTGGAATCCTGAAGGGAAGCGGAAAAGAGGAAGGCCAAAGAACACATTACGTCGGATAATAGAAGCAGATATGAAAAGGATGAATTACAACTGGAAGGAGCTGGAAAGGATTGTCCAGGACAGGGTTGGGTGGAGAATGCTGGTGAGCGGCCTATGCTCCTTCACGAGGAGTAACAGGCGTAAGTAAGTAAGTAAGTAATATACCGAGTTAATTAATTTGAATTTTTATTTTAACTAATAAGTTTATATTATCTAAAATAGCCTTTCTCTTAGGTGCAGAGTTCGAATCCCGTGGGGTACAGGATTGTGGATGCTCACTGATGAAAAATCCCATACTAGGATGAAACGGCCGTATAGTGCTTCCATGTTTTCCATGGTGGTCTAGCTTCAATTGACTCATGATTTCAATAAGTGGAATTTCTAAAGAAAAATCTCCACAAAACCCATTCTGATAATAATCAACTGCTTACTAGTGACTGATTTCAGGAGATACTCCTGGAGTTCTAGTGAGAAGCCGTTACCAGGGGAGTTGTGAGATATCAGCTCACTAAAGACAATGGTGTGCGGTGGCGCAACTTCGTTATTTAATTAATTATTATAAAAATATTTCATTAGTTTTTATTGTAATTATATACTTGTTAAAAATATATACATATTTATAAATGAAATCGTATTATATTAAATATGAATTGTTATTAAGTTCACTTGGTATTATTTGGCTTATATCTTCCCATTGAGATTTAAGACTGCAATTGATCAGTCTGTTATTGGCATATGTGCATACTGTGCGTATTACCTCCATATTGCCTTAATTCACAAGCTTTTTGTAAGCAATAATGGATAGTGGCTAGAAGTGGAATCCAGGACGCGCGTTTCGTCCTATTTGGGACTCGTCAGCTGAATGTACCAGCATCTCAGAGATTTGATGTTCACTCTGGGACTCGAACTCAGTACCATTCACTTCAAACGCCATCGCCTCATCCACTTAGCTACTGAGTCCTGATAGCCACTTGTTTGTACAATGGGGTGAATTTCAATTCGCTTGGTATTATTTGGCTTGTATCTTCCGATTGAGGTTTAAGACTGCAATTGATCAGTCTGTTATTGGCATATGTGCATACTGTGTGTATGCCTCGATATTGCCTTAATTCACAAGCTTTTTGTAAGCAAGGATTCGCTCTGAGACTCGAATCCTAGAGTGAGTGTCAACTATGATGCAGGTACATCCAACTGACGAGTCCCAAATAGGACGAAACGCGCGTCCTATATTCCGCTGCTAGCCACTATCCATCATTGAATTGTTATTAGTTACAATGTATATATTCTTGTATTTTTATATTAACAAAACTCAATGTATAGTAACTATATTCGCTATGTATTTGTGATTGAACAGTTTAAATTTGATCTAATTATTTTATCAGTCAACTAGTTCATATCATTAAATTGAGCTATAGATACGAGAATAAATCATTCATGGTAACTTTCATTTATATATAAATATTCTAAATGAAATATTGAGAAATGATCAAAATAAAATATGATTAGCAAATATTTTGTTTTAAGTTTTATGATCTAAAAAGCTAAATTTCAATGAGAATGATAGCCTATTTTCCTAAATTTTTCTATTTAACTATGGAAAACAGTTGTTTATGAGTAAGTATTTATACTTTTGGGCGTCGGTATTTGTTGCTGATAAACAATTGTAGTAAGTCAACATAAATGAGATTGTGTGTTAGTAGAAATTGACTAAAAACTCTGTTCAGCTTTCTCTGTTTTTTTGAGGCTTTAAAATAATTATTTCATCAGCACACTAGTTTTACGATATACTCATTCAATTTACCCCATAACAGTAGCTGTACCCTATGGATTTCATTACATCTTGTAATTCTGTTGAGGTAAGACAAGTCGGTTCACGTTTTTAAAAGCAATAAAACACCTACATGGAAAAACTTACAATTACATTGGACATTTAAGATACAATTCAAAAACAGGCCATCTTTAGAGACGGTTTGTGATGTAAATTAACTTACCCATCATAAAAATAAAGTTAGGATGTAAAAGTTCATGGTTGGTAAGCAAGGTATACTTTTGGGTCGCAAACATTTCCGCTTACACTTCTGATTTTATTTATGTCCCTATGTTGTGAATGCTATCAAAGCTATTAACTTCTCTTTGCCATCTGTAAAAAACAATGAGACACCACAACATAATTACCAAAGTCGGAAGCGTAGTTTCATTATGACAAGAAAGTCGAGTACTATCCTGACTATAAGCTAAGACGTCAAATGTTCAGTGAAATTTCATAGGTGTAGCATACAAACACCGACAAAAAACACTATGCATCAATATTTGAAAGTAATTCACAATGAATTACTTCTATTCATAACCTGAACAGAGGTCGACAGTGAGCGTGTCCCAACAGATGTGTAGTTCAGACTTATTTCTGACCTTATTTATTTCAGATAGTTTTGATAATCTCACTGAGGCTTTGGTCCCACTGACCAGCAAAACGTTACAAGCATTTAACTTCAACTCCAGAGATTCTATAAATATCTAATAGCTATAATCTATTTGTCATTGGTATGTTTAACATTAACTATGAAGTAAGGGTTGTAGAGAATGCATGGTACACAACTTGTATATTCAAAAGCACCTGTACAGTTTGATATATTGTGTTGAGACTAAACTGATAAATGTTTATTTTTTGTCATAAAATTGCTCCCGATAATTAAAAATATATGAGTTTAAATTGCAAAATGTCCTTTATTAGACAATTGTTGAAAACCTGGAAGTATTGGACAGCCATGCCGTTCTAATATGCGTCTATTATAAGTATATGCAAATATAAATAGTAAACAGAACTTAGATCTCGGAGACCGAATTGTTAATGAGCACTAATGAAGAGTCCCATATTAGGACAAAACGGCCATCCAGTTCTTCCGGATTTTCAAATAATGATCTGACAATGAAAGGTCTGTGATTCAAATTATAAAAATTGAAAACGTACTCAAAAGGATTGGAAAAACTGCTAAAATCTTGATTTTATTAAAATCATAATGTAAACAGCAGTTTCGGCTTAAAATTAATATATAAAAATAATCTAACACACGAAACTTAATTTACCCCGTTCCCTACCAAGCATCAAATTTAAAAGAAATAAATTATTTGAAATAATTTTATATCAAAATCAACAACACCAAAATGATGTGTAATGATGAATGAGTTTGATGAGATGATTTAATTCTCCATGTGGTGCAAAGCATAGAAAGCTCCTTTCTTAGCGAGCAGTGCTGCTGGAGGTCCTGACTCTATCTTTCGTTCATCCCGTAAAACTACTACCAAATCAGCATTGACGACTGTGGACAGGCGATGAGCAACAACTAATGATGTTCTCGACCCCATAGCAGCATCAAGGGCTTCTTGAACTATCCGCTCACTCTCATTGTCCAAAGCTGAAGTAGCTTCGTCCAACAGAAGTAGAGCAGGTTTACGAACTAAAGCTCGTGCAATGGCTATCCTCTGTTTCTGTCCTCCAGATAACTTTGATCCACGTTGTCCAACTTTGGTTTCATATTGCTTAAAAACAGTGAAAATTATAAACAGTTATTTAATATATATGAAAATATTCTTAACAATTCGAATAACATGAAAGCTGACAATACAATGAAAATATAAACCTGAAGCGTAATTTTTAGTGAGTTTAACAAACCGAATATTTTCACTCACTTCTGGAAGTGTTGTAATAAAATCATGGATGTTAGCTGCACGTGCTGCCTCAATAATCTCTTCCATCGTCACTTCTCGACTATTGTCTCCATACGCAATATTCTCTCTTATCGTGAGATCGAATAAAGTGGGTTCTTGTGAAACAAGACCAATCTGTTTTCTAACCCAACTAGGTGCAATATCCCTAATATTTATATCATCGAAAAACACACCACTATCGGGACCGTGATATGATGGATCGTAGAATCTCAATACTAACTGAAGTAGTGTTGATTTTCCACACCCAGAAGGTCCAACTAATGCGACTGTTTGACCAGGCTCAATAGTGTGTGAAAAGTTCTGAAAAATGCAGAAAATTTTCAAAAACTCATTAGGTAAGTAAACGACAAGTATATTACAAATAGCTATTAGAAAACAGGATCATATAATCTTGAAAATCCAAAACTGGTTGTCTTAAGTATATACAGATCTAATCAATAATCTGATCAGTGCTTACAGTGAGACGCTTTGTAACGTAAACCCTTTGAATCATTTCGTTATTTATACCAGTGTCTAATATTGACATTTGATATAATTATCCTCTCAAATACAGTGTTCTGTGGTGGTGGTGTTTTTCAAACTGTCAAAATTACTATCTCTCTGAATAAAGCATATTGTTTAGTGCAAAGTGTAGTAATGTCAAGTACAATAACAGTTGTATTTTATTACTGGAATTTTCATCACATACAATTCGAATCAGTGGTTCATTCGCTTAAGAAAGCTTTTAAAATTAATAATTAAATCTATTATGAATATTAATTCAGTCTTTATGCAGAGTAATTACGTTAACATATAATGATTTCTATAATATTGCCTTTAAGTGATTTGCTATTTAACTCTATTGTAGTGTGAATAAATTAATTCGTTTGCATTCAGTATGGTTGTATTTGCAAGACATATCTTTTTAGTAGATTGAGATTTTCATTTAAAAAAAACTACGAATTTATCTTATTCCTATCACTTTTGTTTATATGATGATCTAGTTTGAACTAAACATGTTCAGAACCTCTGAACAGTGATTAGAACAAATTCAACTCGAACGAAAATAAATTTCTGTAACACTGTATTACTGTTCCTCACTTACTACATTAACTTACCTTAAGAACCCGTCTCTCAGTTTGAGAAAAATATTTGAAATCAACGTTCTTGAACGAAATTTTCCCTTTGAATTTTTCACGTGGTACACTCCCTATATTAGTTGAAATAAGAGGTTTCCTGTCTAGAATTTCAAGAATACATTTCGCAGCTGAACCTGCTGCTTTAGTACCCAAAACTAGTGTAGCTGTACGGCCAAGAGATTGAGCACTCAAATGGATAGTTACGAAAACCCTTTTAATTGAAATGTCATAATATAATATAATCAAAGTGATTGCATCGAGTTTCTGAGACAAATGCTTGATAAAATATTTATGGAATTTAACAAGGAAAACGTCTGAAAACTATGACACATTTTCACTGATATTTACCATAATTAGGTAATTGCCAAGTGATTGGAATATTCTAATCCGAATACGGTATTAAAATATACATTTTTAAAACACTACCCAGGATTTTGGGTGGTAAGGCAGTAGAACAGGAATTGTGTGCGATCATAAATAAAATACAAAACATTTCAGTTAGTTTTTTTTGTATACCACCCTAATGATTGTTTAGTGATGCTATTTATACTTCATCCTTGTATCGTAGTATAATTTCAACGTTTTTCTATGGTATTCTAAACCTGGAGAAACGAAAAGTTACCTTAAGGTTAATAAAATTCATGTCACATTTTCCAAAAATATCTTTAAATGAAGCTATGTATGTTTGGTTTACCAACTTGATGTTCAGATTTAGTTGAGTGTAGTTTTCTGTAAACCACACATACTACATGAATGCTAGTGATATTATCGCAGTAGGTAGTGTACTGGTCAATAATTAAACATCGTGATGAAAATTAATATGATTAAACCTCTTAATTGGAGCTTTTAGTATTCAAACTAAAAGCAACCTCTGATGTAATCTTCCATATATTTACTCAGAATCATTACCAGTGACGGTTCTTAGATTTACACACAAATGTGAAATTTAGGCCTGTTAATATCCGTCCAATATAATATTAGCATATTGTTTGTAAATCTTATCATATGTATTAAACAGTTTATCATTTCAAAGTAGACTATTTTAGTAATTATAACTCATTTTAATTTTTTCACAAAAGATGCATCCAAAAGATTTTGTTTCTAACATTTTTTTAAAGAGTAACTATTCGATAAAGTATTCATTTTGATTTCATAACAGAAAAACACTGTAGAAACCTAAAAAATTCCTGATCATATTTGATTCTGGCTTTAAAATGTCACAATTCACATGCATGATATTTCATAGTGTGTGGTGTTTGGTTCTATGTAAAAACCATATGGGTTATTCTAGCTACAGACTGACTTATCCACTCTTTTGAAGTCATATTTGGACATTGTTAATTATTCGCTTATCAATCTTGACTATTGTCATACGAGCGCATATGTGTTAATTGCTCACCCTATTCATTCTGCGTCTGTAACTTTTTGTCTGACTACAAATATCGAGTCACGCTTTATTAAAATAAGTTGGCCCACTCGCTATCTCCGCTCCGCTTTGCTCCAATTTCCCGCTTTCTAATCTGAATGTCCGCCTGGATAAACGAATGCTTGAAATGAATTCTTTCAACGCAAACCGTGTTTGGCTTCTTATTACCATCGTCAAACAAATCAGAGTGAGATCAACAGACTACAAACAATGTTTAGAAGCTTGCAAATCGAAAATATCAGAACAAAGATTCATTAGAAGGACAAGTGTTCAAATGTGGGATTTCCCTTATCCATTAAAACTACTTCTATTCACTAGTGATTTATGATGTTCCTTTAACATTTGCATTACTTCGCAACCTTTCTGACATACTGAAAACTTAAAAATACGTTGTGATCTGATCTCTTTCTTTTGATTATCAGCAAATAACCACAAATATAATTCGGTAAATAGTATAGTCGGAAAGAAATATTTTCAGACGAATTTTCTTCGTCTCTTCAGTGGTATAATGGGGTCACTTTCGTTGCTTGAAAATTAATTAAACGAATCTTTAGCTGAGTAGTAGCTTAAACATTGTTGAGTGATTCGTAGTTGTAATACTTTGTCGATGAAGTTTCTAATACGTCTAATAATTTAAGTGGATTAGTACTCTGGTCTAGTCTACCAGATCTCAAACATTTTAAGGTAATAAAATAATATCGCAGACTTAAGTATGAGGATTCTGGTACACGTAGACAATTGAGAGAACTTGGTCTCTTTTAAAAATGAGTCTGCAATGAACCTAAATAAGTCTGTTATAATGCCTTTCAATTAGGCGTTAACTTATTCCTGGCTTCAGGATACCATTAACGAAGTAGATTAACAACCAATAAACTGAAGTTAAGGAGTTCATGCCTCTTACTCAGTTATTTTTCTTTATTTTAAATGAATGTGAATCATGAAGTACACAGATATTAAAGGAATAACCCATAATCTTCTAACTCCTAACTCGCAAAGTGAATACTTGGCTAAAAAAAAGCGGACCAACGTTTGGAGTTAGAGTTGGTATTTAAGCAAGTAGTCTCATGAACTAGAATAAGGACAGATATTCATCAAGTGTTATGCATTAGGATAACTCATATCTCAAGTCTCATTTTTCATTCATTCAGTTGAATGAATAGCATACTTTCGTGATTTTGTTGAAACTCACAATGACAAGATAATTGATGTGATAACTGAATAGTGGGATACTTTGGGCTTCCTTCGTGCACTGCTGAATTATAGTGTAAAAATCAACAAAACATGAAATAATTACATTCAATACTCTAATATCCATAAAGGTAACTGATCTGAATTGAAGATGAAACAATTTACCTGAACACTGCTAAAACCGTTATTGCTTTTGTTGAAACCAAGTGTGCACCGAGTGAATACGCAGCAGCTACTGCGAACAACAATACACTTTCTGCAATAGCGTACATAATGGCATTTAAAAATATCGTTTTCAAGTTATTTCTTAGGAAAAAAACAGAAAAAGAAGGTTTATACATAAAATCTTCACTTGAGGTTATCAATCAGATTTCGGCAAGATGTAAATCCTTACAGATAAACTATGCTTTATTCCCGCCGAAGTAGTCCGAATTCATTTGAACTCAGTAGTTCAGCAGGAAATGAGTTTGAGTCAAGTACGAATTCTCGAAAATGTACATAAGTACATACAACTATCTAGTCTCAAATAGAAATAAACACATGTCCCTTTATCCACTGATAGCTAATATCCACCTCTTCTATATGTTTATGTAAATTTTTGTTTATGATAATTAGTAATCAGTATAGAATAACTACTCTCACACTATGTATAAATATCCTCCACTTGAACATAATATGACTTCATTTTAAGTAAATAAGACACTATAACAAAGCAACAAAATCATTACAAAAGTGATTGAATATTTGTTGAAAATCATAGTGAAATGTTTACATTTTTTGGAAACTTGTTTGAAAATAAGTTGTCCTGAGCAAAATAAATTATTATTGTTTTTTTTCATTAAGTACTCAATCTTAGAATACATCATGAACTTCAGACAAACTGAAAGAATAATAATACTGAATCAAATGAATATTCACAGGTATAATTGTTATATTATTAAGTATTGTTCATGGTAATAAAATTGGTGTATTTCAAAGTATCCACATGACATTTTGTACTCTAAAGAAACTTGCACAATAATGGATATCATTAATGCAAATAATTTCATCCAACAATATACTCAGTAGGCTAGGACAGTTTTACATACCCTGTATAATGTTTGTTTTTATTTTCTTGTAATAAAATTGATGTAGTAAGGCATTTAAAAAAGGATTCTATCAAACTCAACTTAGAAACCCTTCAATCTACAAAATTGTAGTGGGAAAACGATTGAAACTAGTTATTTTAGACTCGTAAAGTTATCAGTGTTAATCAGTTTGTCACGTCTTTGTTCCAGAAAATGAGTAACGTAGTAATTAAAAAAAAATTAGAATGTTAATTTACTAGACAAAGTACAATGAATTGTAAGCAATTAGATAAATGTAAAATTACACATTGAAATTCTCTGATCAGCACATTGATCGTACGCATGATTCGATGAATTCGGTCTTGCTGGAAAGATGTAAGTTTGATAAGGAAAAGCTATATTTTCCTTCTTTTCAGATGCAAACGCCAACAATAAATTTTTAATAATCCCAATATAAGTCATGAGTATTTTTTCAAAACTCACTTCAGATTTTCAACTGCATGAGATTCAAAACGTTTAAAAAAGTAATCTTCTAATGTAAATGCAGTAACTGTGTAGCTTGAGCCAGTCACCTCTTGAGCAATTCTCATTGCTTCATTGGCATTCCGAATATTACTACTTCCTGAAAGTGTTCGCATCTGGATAAGATGGTGAAATAAATGAATTTGTATAATTATTTCAAACTTCCATCAAGTCATATCCATACTAAAAGGACAAGTGCTGACTAATTATATATGACTTCAGCCATTTAGTTTGGTCAAGAGTTGTTAGGGTTGAATGCATTTTATGTGCCAGACAAAACGCAAATTTAGGTTGGTACTTGTATCCTCAATGGATGGAGCAAGCTATCACAAACTGTCAACTTAAATGTTTTCTGTGATGTGGACGTACACTCGGTTATCACTAAGAATGAGCAACATTGGTTGAATCTTTCACAAATATTGACGATTTGTTTTTCATATTACTCCTCTGAATATATTGTATGTATGATAACTGGCATGTATAAAGAACATTCTACAAATTATATTTAACTATCTATGACGATAAAACCAGGTGTTATATCATCGGTAGATTCTCAGATGAACGTCTGTTTTAACAAAGATAATGAGTGATACAGAATCCACACTTTGTAGAACCAATCAACTTATAGGCCAATAATCAGTAAAGGATTCAGAACATGCGATGTCACTTTTTAGCATTCATCTCACTTACAACACATGAAATAATTCTTGTGTAAAATTGTAGATTCATGGAATATAAATTGATCCCACTTATTCAAAATATGTTGCTTTAGTTCTAAAAGTTTTAATCAAACTATATAAATATATTTGTCGCTACTTAACCAAACATATAATTGTAACGAAGTTTAGTCAGCTTCTCTACCAACCATGAACTAATCTCAACATTCTAGTAAACATCAATGGAAACCTCCATTACACATATCTTTCAAAACCTTTAAAATACTTGTCAAATGAAACGAATTACCTGGAAAAATCCTCCAATGACAATAAGTGGATAGAAGGCTAATATTAGGAGAGTCAGTTGCCAACTGTAGATAAACGAAACCACAAAAGACATAGCTATCAATGCTACAGCTTCTATGATGAAACCCAATTGTGAACCTGAAATCATTGTCACTTTCATAGCATCATTGGCCAGTTTTGCAGTTAATGCTCCTGCTTGGTTCTCCGGTTTATCAAACCATCCTATTTCCTAAATAAAATACGTTAGAGTAAGTGGAATCAATAATTTCTAACTATTTTATTTGAATAAATTAAAATATAAGTAATTATGTGAAACGAGAAAATCACCTCTAACTTACTTGATTTAGCATGCTCTCAAAAACTTTTGATCGTAGGCGACTAACTAATATACCGCCTGATTTTCCAAAAAGTAAACTCTAAATAAATTCAAAAAATATGTGCATATAAAGTTAATTTTATTTACTTATTAAAAAAATGAGTTTATTAACTCTGATTTGGCTACTGTGAAGTATAAATTTGTTTCTAATTTCATACTATGACTAAAAACCATTATACCAATAAGATCAATTCAGTCAAGACAAATCTTGTTTTGGAATTTATATACAGGGTAACATGTCCAATTTCAAAGGAAATAAATTTCCTCAATGTAATAAAAAGCTGTGGTGTTGACAGTCAACATTCTGGAAACATAATTGCTAGTGATCTGATTCAGAAGCTTTAACATAACTTTGGTGTAGATGAAAAGTACTATAAAAAGAAAGTTATCTTCAGTAACTTTAGTTCAATCTTGTAAAAATCCAAAGCAGTTGTACGGAATAACATCCAGCGTGAGAGGATACAATTATGGAATTACATTAACAAATTTGAAGAAATGAACATGGTTCCCTGACTTTTCTGAAAATTATTTAGTCTTACATATATGAAACATTAATGAATATGGTAATGCTAAATAAGTAGATGAGAAGTATAAATATTAGTCGACCTGTCTATATACTCATCAGTTGGTTTAAATTCCACTTGAAAGAACGGGTAAGTTACATGAATTCAAAGGAGTTTGTAACGCGATTTAACAAATTACTGTTACATTAAACTGAAATGCGAGGTACGTACAAGCTCAAGAGGAAAGGCAGTCAATTTAGATTTTACATAACTGTGTTGTATTATAACATAATGCAGTTTTACAAAATAATACTTAAATTCAAAATCAGCTTAAAAAACATTAAATCTAATGAAACCAGAGGTAATCAAACCGAAAATATTGACGTTAGTAATCAGAAATATGTTAAGTCGCTAAACAAAACATTGATGCAAAATGGCTATCCCCATAAACTCGTAAACAGATAGAAAGTTCATGGTACAGCCTTGGCAGAAAAAATACATGTCTACATCACCTTACCACTTATAGATGATTCAAATAGCCTTTTATTGAAAAAAGGCTTAAACCAGTCATTAACAACACGTATTATGCAGAAAAAGTCATTATCAAGGAAACAACAAGGTTCATGCTTGATCAAAAACCTAAAAGGCAAGAAAACGATTGCGCTACATACACTGTGTTTACCAATTTAAATGTGTGGTCACACATACGTAGGGAGGAGTAATCGTGATCTCAAAATTAGGGTGTGTGAGCATGTACCGAAATGGTTACAGAAACAAATAGAATCGAATGACCCAATAAGAGTAGAGAATAAAAATCCATCATCCTCTATTGCCAAACGCATAATTGGAACAGGCTATAAGATTGATCTTAACTCGACTTTTGTGGTGTTGTACAAAGTGTAAAAGGGCATATTACTTACTTACTTACGCCTGTTACTCCCAATGGAGCATAGGCCGCTGATCAGCATTCTCCAACCCACTCTGTCCTGGGCCTTCTTTTCTAGTTCCATCCAATTCTTGTTCATTTTTCTCATGACTGTCTTCATTTTTCGACGTAGTGTGTTCTTTGATCTTCGTCTTCTCCTCCTTTGGCCTTCAGGATTCCATGTGACGTCTTGTCTTGTGACGCAGTTGAGTGCTTTCCTCAATGTAGGTCCTATCCACTTTCAGCGCTTCTTCCTGATTTCTTCCTCCGCTCGAATCTGGTTTGTTCGCTCCCACAGTACGTTGTTGCTAATAGTGTCTGCCCAACGGATCTGAAGTATTTTGCGTAGACAACTGTTAATGAACACCTGTATTTTCTGGATGATGGTTTTCGTAGTTCTCTAGGTTTCCGCCCCATACAGTAGAACTGTCTTGACATTTGTATTGAAAATCCTGACCTTGGTGTTGGTTGATAGTCGTTTTGAGTTCCAGATGTTATTCAATTGTAAATATGCTCCTCTTGCTTTGCCGATCCGCGCCTTCACATCTGCATCAGATCCACCATGTTCATCAATGATGCTGCCCAGATATGTAAAGGTTTTTACATCTTCCAATCTTCTCCATCAATTGTGATTGGATTGGTGCATGCTGTGTTGTATCGGAGAATCCTGCTTTTCCCTTTGTGTATATTGAGACGTACTGCTGTTGAGGCTGCTGCCACACTGTTCGTCTTCTCCTGCATTTGTTGTTGCGTTTGCCAGATCATTTGCGAAGTCCAGATCGTCCAGCTGCATCCTAGATGTCCATTGTATCCCGTGCTTCCCTTCAGATGTTGACGTCTTCATGATCCAGTCGATCACCAGGATAAAGAGAAAGGGTGAGAGTAAGCAACTTTGCCTAACACCGGTCTTCACTTCGAACGACCTTGTCAACCGTCCTCCATGCACGATTTTGCAGTGTAATCCATCATATGAACTCTGTATGATATTGACCATCTTCTGAGGCACACCGTAGTGTCGAAGAAGCTTCCATAGTGTTGTTCTGTCCACGCTATCAAATGCCTTTTCGTAGCCAATGAAGTTGATGTAGAGTGGTCCATTCAATTGATTGTTCCACAATGATCCATAGAGTCGCGATTTGGTCTGTACACGACCTATCCTTACGGAATCCTGCCTGTTGGTCACGAAGTTGGGCGTCTACGCAGTCCTTCATCCTGTTTAACAATACCCTGTTGAACACTTTTCCTGCTATTGAGAGAAGAGTGATGCTGTTGTAGTTATCACACTTGCTGAGATCACCCTTCTTCGGTATTTTGATCAGAAGTCCTTCTTTCCAGTCTTTTGGTACTTGTTCCTCATCCCAAATCTTATTGAAAAGAATGTGGAGTATCCTTGCAGTTACCGCCTGGAGTCCCTTCGAGGGCTGCTGCCGGTCCCAAGCCCGGATAAAGGAGGAGGGTTGGGCATGGGGTTAGGGTCCTCATCCCGTAGAAAACTAACTCGCTAAAAGAACGCTAACCAGAAAGAATTATTCAAACCAAAAGGGCATATCACTAAGGTTTATTGAAGCCTTAGCCATACGAAAATTCAAACCCCCTCTGTGTATTCAAAAAACAGTTTGCTCTCACCGTAAACCTACCCTCGTAATATTAGCTTATTATCCAGAGTGATGAGGTTTCAAATTGTTTTCATATAATTTGTTTAATATATCTTTGTCTCCTCTTAACCTCGATTTCTAGTCTAGTTGACCTTTCATTTTTGTATATAAATGTTCTTAACAAGTATATATGTGATCAGATTGTTCGAAATGATTGCGCTAATATATCACATAGTTCTGATAATCTTGAATATCGTTAAACGAACGGCGATTTTTGTATTTTTTTCATCCCTTTTGAAAATTTTTTCGTCGTCTTCTTATTACACTATAGAGATGTATACTCCAATTGAACAATAGTTTTAGTAATACGAATAATCAGTGTTTCATTATTTGAGTAAATAGACACCATTTCAAAATGATCTTGTCTATTGTGTATCAAAAAAGCAACATTATATTAAAGATGTCATCTTTGCAGAACTAACCATATAAAGGTAAGTGACCATTGAACTACTTATTACGAAAAAAAACATTACTTTAATTAGACTTCTACGACTGCTAAATTCAGAGAATAAATGGGACGAATGCGGACACAGACATTCAACATACAAAATAATATCTACGTCAATTTATGTTATTTAACATACATAAAAAATGAAATGTTCGTAACACAATAAACTACGAATACAAAAACTTGAGTTTTTAGTACTACCTGACTGACATTAGCTACAAAACGTAGAATTCCAATCACCACCATCATCCCACATACAACAGTGAGTCGACTAAACAGCAGATCTGGATTAGATCGCAAAGGAAAAATCTAAAATGGGTAATTTCACAAGTGTTACTGTTACACAATGCAACTGGTAGACAATTCTCCAGAAAAGCAATATTATATGTGTATGGCAAAAAATGTACATTTTTCTTGGTAAATTTGTATTTGCTAAATTAATCGAAACTATTAATTACTCTGAAAATGACTTGTACTGCAACTGTGCTTCCATTCCATGAATATTGTCCGCTTCTTGTTACATAAGGTTTACATTAGATCACCTTCATCTACGCCCAGTAAGCAGCTATATTCAGATGCGTTACTCTTATGTCTTAATGAGTTACTACAGTCGAGGAACATCATATTTATCCGAAAACGCATATTTTATGACAATTCAATACGAGATTTCTGTTGATTTCTTTAGGTCGAGTTATATTTTCGAAAGATTTAACGAAGAATTTAGATCCAAATATTATTTTATTAATCACTACATTTGTTTCTATAATAATGTGTCACCTACTACCGATTTCGTTAATTGCATTTCATGCAACCAAATTATAATCCTTTTTCAATAAGTACTTAGCGATTCTCCTAGAAATCGTCCTGATTAGATTCTTCAGTTAAAAATCTACAAAGCTGAATGATTTTATTTGCATATTCATGAGGAAGAAAATTGGTTGAAATTGCATTTTCTGTCCCGTTAAAACGGAAACAACTGATGGAATGTTAAAGAAAATCCGTTTGGAATAATAAGTTCATAAGACTCTCCAGCTCGATGCTTATCAACAGAAAGAATAATTAGTTTGTTATTATCAGCTTGCAATAAAGACGTTTTCACTCTTGACATTAGTGTTGAAGACCCTTCTCTTCTCAAACAAATACTAACTGGAAACGTGTCTTTACCAGCATTTGTCGGTATAAACATAGTTAAAATCTTTTAAAATTTATTTCGTCATTTTGAGCAATCCACTTCCAGTTTCCATGGCATTTTTAATTTATTCGTTTGCGTCAACCTTTAAATACGAATAACAAATTTGAACTTTCTGGTATTTTTTTTGACTAATTGTTGTGTCGAGAATGCACACATATATGCGACGTCACAGTATGAAACAGACAATATCAAATAAAGCTCATTGAACATTTAATCTCATTCAACAATTATGTTCACTGACTAATTCATACAACATCAGATTCATCCATTTCTACAACCTAATCAGTCCCTTAAGCCAGAAATGCGTATGTATATAAAATTAGATTATTATGAGATAAACGGTTTATGATGTCACTTTTATGAAATATCAATCACATATTCCATCATTACAACTAATAACAACCAAAATGAGTTAGAGCTGGAATAAAAATTTATTAATCATTTGGTTTTACCAGAACAAATAATAATCAAACAGTGAATTATAAGCGTACTTACACTATACATTTCAGTATACAGAATCGCAAAAGCTGGTTGAGTGGTCCCACTAATCACACAGCAAATACATCCTAAAACTATCAGATGTAGTTCAGGTCTATTAAGTTTTAAAACCCTTAATGTCGGAGAAAGCTTGATATTTTTTCTCTGAAAAAAGAAAAGTTGAAGTGAATTATGCATTAGTTATGCTTCGTGACGTACAACTCATTTGTTGACAAACTGGTTACCCAATAGCTCAGAGACAAAAAATAATTGATTAAGTATATTTGCCTCAGTGTGTTATACTGAAATCAATGAAAAATCATTACCCATAACCACATCAAAATTCTGTTAACTTAAATTTTAACATCGTAATTGATAGAAATCTTTAAAGATGGCTTATATTATACGGAAACGGATACGAAGGGTAAAGTATAAAGTCTATTTTCCTTGAGGTATATGTGTTCTAACTCCAGCTGAAGCTCTTCTAAGGTTACCACAGATCTCAAGATTGTATATAAAAGAGTTAGGATTAGGGTTTTTAAATCCATTTCCCAGAAAAGAAACACACTAGGAAAATGGTCATCAAAGATAATAAGTGTCCATATATAAACCTTGTTCTAGTAGTTCAAGGGTCTTCATATAGAAGGGTGATAACGCCTCACGGTGATAACCACGAATCCTTGAGAGCCACGAGGCCAATGTCTGTTCTGACAACTAGGGCAACAAATAATCTAGGGACGTGGAGTGTCCGAACAATGTACAAGAACTAGAAGATCAAATAGCTTTGCAAACGATAAGGTACATCCTGACTTTGATTAGAACAAGTGGAACTCATTGAACACATTCTGAACAGAAAAGACATGTCTCATGAGAGATGTTGAATTCTAATCATCCGGAATAAAATGTATAACATATACAAAAATTGCGCTGATACCGTTTAGAGATTTACAAAACGCGCTTATATTACAAAAAACCATGTTTTCACGATAACCAACACATTCTTCGAATAAAAGAAGGAAAGGACTACAACAAACATCATACAGTGTTATGTACCCAGAAACGATATTAGTAAAGATGACAAACAACAGTCTTGTGAGATGTAGTACACTCTATAGAAATGCTCATGAAAGTCCCTGACTATCCTAACAAGGATGATGACCGCTTGGCATGGACGAATCATAGAACAACATGGAGTGATAAGTGAAAACGAAAATGGTAAGAGGCTGTTAATTGTGTCTTTTTAACATGATCACGGGTTAAAAAATTCCTCCTCACAAATTCATACGCAAAGCTACATCAGTTTCCTTTGATCACACCAAGGAAAAATAGATCGATCACATCTGCGCCAAAAAACATTCAGAAGGTTCATTGAATATGTAAGAACAAATAAAAGATAAGGTATTACTTTAGATCACTTGATGGCAGCCAAGCTAATATCAAAGTAAGAGAAGATCTGGCAGTTGAACAAACAGAACTATGAAATTTTAGCACAATGCTGTTTCAAACCGTTAGAGAGCTTAGCAAGTTTCAGTCAACTTTCAGCAAACAGCTCCAAGCCTTACAAGGTCTAGCAAAAGAAAGGAAAACGACTATGGAGAACAACTGGGAATTGATTAATGAATTACTTAAACATGTCACATGTTGAGCTCTAAGAAGCTACATCATGAAAAATGAATTTCTATTGATAACCTAAGCAATAACCAACAGCAGCAACCAACAACAGCAGAAGGAAAGCAGAGAAAGCCAAGGCATAGGCTGAATATACAGAAGCGAACAAACAAATGAAAAATAGTATGAAAGCTGACAAGAGGAAATATGCTAAAGGCCTGGAGACGACAGCAAGAAATACGAGCAAACCATATGATACAGCGAAGATCCTAGAAGGAAAACAGTAACCTGGAGTGACCGGTCAAAATCAAGAAAGACAAACCGATTACTGGGGTTCATGAGCAGTGGGACAGGTGAATAGAGTGCTATGAAGAACACTTGAATAGACCGGCTCCAGTGAGTCCAGGAGAAATCACAGTAGCATACACGAGCGTCTCTGAAAATGATATCACAATAACAACCGAAGAAAATAGCAAGAACATCATACAAATCAAGAGTGACAAAGTAGCAGGGGCAAACAGCATACCAACTAAGACACTAAATCAGGTATACAGGTGACTGCAAAGATGATCCATGTACTCTTTGGAAAGATTTGGGCGGAATAAGGCGTATAGGTAGACCGAAAAATGCAATACTTCATCAAAATGAAGAAATTAGATCCTAATAAATGTGAATAATACAGAAGGATCACACTGTTGTTAGTCCTCGGCAAAGTTCGCAACTAAGAGTTGCTTAAACGAACGAACGATTGAGTAGACCCTCATTCTCCATATCAACAAGTTATCTCTCATAAGGATAAATAATTAACCGACAGAATCATTACATTGTATACACTACTGAACAATCAAATGAATTGAACTCATCACCATATATCAACATACTAGATTACAATAATCATTAGACTGAATGGAGAGGAGAACCTTATGAAACCTTCTTTGACACTATGGAGTACCTTAAAAGATCGCCACCACCACACGCAACTCTTACGACGGATTGTAGTACAAAGTCATGCATAGGGCGTAGCTCAGGGGTACATTACAAGTGAAGGCTGTTAGTTTATTGTCGCTTCCCTTTCCTCTGGTTATTGACTGGACTATGAAAACCTACAAATTCCGGGAAAGCACGGGACGCAGTGGATACCGTGAACGTAGTTGAATGACTTGAACTTTGCAGATGACTAAGCCTTTCTATGTCGCATAAAGCGTCAAATGTAGGCAAAAATAGTCAGTGCTATATTGGCTTCCACAACAGTAAAGCTCAGCATACACAATTGGAAAAGCAAGATCCTGAAGTATAACATAGTGAGCACTAAACAAATCACATTTGATAACAAAGTTCTGGGAGAGATTGGATTCTTCACGTACCTGAGCAGTATCATCAGTAGATAAAAAGAATCCGATTAAGATATCAAAGCGTAAAGTGACAATACAAGGGTAACATTCCTACAACTAAATATCCATAATTCAGAACAACTGTACCCCAGCACTAACGTCAAAAGTTTTATTATACATAGATGAAACCTGAAGAGATAAAATCATTACCAAATTGTAAAAATATATGCAAACAGCTTCAGACTCAAAATACTTCAGATCCATTGCAGAGCTTGTCTGCAATAACCTTTGTGGCAGACAACAAACCTATCTCCTGCTGAAGAAAAAATTATGAAAAATCTCCTGGGTAAATAGAATACACTTGGGGGGAAACGATTGAACTGCACCAAAAAGCAAGCCTCACACTACAATATACAAGGGAACAGGAAACGAGGTAGAACAAAGAAAACATGACGCCACGGATGAAGACAGGCACCAAGTTGATGAATAGGACGTGGTAATATCTGGAAAGAAGAGCATAGGGTAGAATTGCCTGGATACTTCTGGTCGCCTCATATGCCACTTGAGAGCAGTAGGCCTATGCGAATAGGTAATGTTTTCCTTTTACTGATTTTAGTAAAATTAGGATACTCTTTATTACTTTTCACTTCATGCAATGGGGATAAATTATAGCTGCTTGGAATTTGGGAATATATACAATACTTTGGTAAGTATATTTCCACAATTCAGATGTATCGTAGTCTTAAAATGACTGTGCGATTCCTACTTATGAAAGAAGTAGATATAATAAACAGGAGTATTCGAATTAATGTACTAAGAATTCCCGAAATAGTGCAATTCAAGTCAGGTAGAACTAGATTAGCACAAATGAACGTACTATATTTGGAATTCGTAATCAGCGCTCAATCAAGTACAAAGGAATCAACAATGAGTACAAATGCCACAATTGTCATTCAGAGAAGGATACATATAAGTTGACGTAGCAAGATTAAAGCTTGGGCAAACTAGTGTGGACTCAATTTATTTCAGTCAATTAGTTCCTTTGATGGTTTGTTCGCTACGTTCTCATCAGTGAATTATCAGCACTCGCATTTTCTAATCAGAATTACATAAAAGTTGGCATAATTATGCAAGTGAAATTCGTAAGAATTGAATATGTTCTGACTTCCTTCAAATCAAGAAAAGAACGATGCTCAAGTATATCGAGGTTTTATAGGTTCGTATATTTCTAACTAAAAAGTAGGTACTCCATGTCTATGAAAGATTTCGGAGAAAACTTTACAGAATAATGAAATTATTCCAAAACTACTCAATCTTGCACATTTGTATTTTATTTAACGGCTAATTCCGATTCCAAATATATAATTCGTTCAGTTGTCTTCATGGAGTTCTATCAGCTTTAAATTGAACCTTTCTGGGAATTCTTAGTTAGCGCATCAGTTCGATTACTTCTAATCATCATACTTAACTGGCGATTCCCGTAACACATCTGCATGAATAAAATAATTTAAGTAATGGCAGAATTGTAATGAAACGACTATCGCCTGAAATAAAATGTGAACTGCAGATAGTTCAAAATACTAACTGAATAGCTAAACGTACATATCATTTAGTCATGCATCATTCTAATGGGCGTACTGAATATATTTCAGTATAGTTCCAAAACTTTCTTATTCTGATGTTCATGCGTAAAATGTCAAGACCTTGGAAACAATAATCATTCTTTTTACTGGTGTACAATTTAAGGGCCTGTAGAGGATAGTTTATGAAATCTTTCAGAACAGAAATCCCAAACCTCAGACAAAAGGAACAATAACAAAATTGCTTAAACAAAAAAAACTCGTTCGAATATAGACTTTTCATCTCTCTGAGATATACTACGCTATTACAATAATATGAAAATAAGACGAGTCTGTGTGACCGAGTTTATAATGCCACAACATTGGATACTTGGACGATCCGTTACACACAAAACAGAGACTAGATCACATATCAGATACAAAATTCACGACCAAGAACAGAAAACCAGAGTCACGATAGATAATACTTATTTCACACAGTTACAAGCCATCATTCTTAATGTGTACCACATGGAAACCAATAAGTAGTAAAGAAATCACATAATTAATATCAGTGTGGGAATTCGTGGAGATTGCAATATTTAATAGTAAGTCGAGTGTCTGTTTGTCCACACTCAGTGACCAATCACATTTACTTCCAATACTACACATTGACATTACACTGAAACATCATAATAATTATCAATCTAAACTCGATTAAATATAAAACTTACTTGATTACGTAGAATCGAAATTGTTGAAATAAGGGAAAAATTCCCGTATGGAACATTTCCAGTGGTTTCAGATACACTCTACACAAACAAATGAAATAAATGACACGCACATGTGAAATCATTTGAACGTGTTATTCAAGAACATTGTGTCATTTTTGATTACTAATAACTATTATTCCACAGACCACTGTTATTCAGAGGTTTGCTCAATGTTTTACTACAGTGTTTGAAAATATTAGGTTGACATCATTTTCACCAAAGACTGACAAAAATTACACAATCATTAAACACACACGTTTGTAATATTATGTCAAATTGTGGATGTACGTGGTCAATCAGCCGCAGATCGAGGAGAAACAAACAGTATCCCATATTTCATAAGAATATTTGAATTTACAACTACACTTTGTAACAATCTATCACTTCCTGTTTAGTTCAAGCAATTTGTAAGAAAATCAATCTTAAAGTATATTCGCTAATGATGTTTCAATGTAATTTCAATGAAAACGAGAAATCGGTTTGAATTGTATGTGAATCCTGAGAAACATTTTATGGCAGAACAAGCATATTAAAATTAATTTTTAAAACAGTTACTTACATCCTCACCATTATCCATTTTACAAATATCGTCTAATTTCGTCAACAAGTCTTTTCCACTGACGATATATTTATTTCGAGATCCTTCATCCAATAATTCATTGTCATCGTTCTCAGCACTCTCCAATATTCTCTGAATGAAATATATTTGATGTTTAATTATTTGTGAAAGTGTCAAATACAATAATCTAGTCCTATGGTAAACTCTTAATTCAGTATGGTCAACTTACACAACCCACAACAAGTAATTACTCTCCTCGTAAATATTAACAAAGGTGGTATTTCTTAACCACAATTTTAAAGAACGTATTTACTTCAAACTTCTTTCAGTTGCAGATTGACAGTTGCGGAGTAACAATAATGGCACTAATATAAACCAGATCAAAGTTTTGCAAACGATACTGTTGTGTTTCAATTCAAAACTAATACATAGTAGTTTTAGTTAATTTAATAGTTGATTATCTTTCTGTGCAACACAAACTTTGCGCCTACAAAAAAAACATATCAGCTTACAGATACCACTCTATTCTAAGTATAATTTAGCCATATTAGCTTAAAATGCAAACAATAAAATGAAATTTTTAAAGTAAAATTTTTAAAAAGTGCCACTTCTTAGACAAACATATAAGACGTTTCGTTATTGGTATCCACCAGTTTATCATGATAATCTATCGTAAAATAATTCAAGCACACGCCAAAACGCTTTGAGCAACACGAGTCTGGGGAAATTTGAACGTACCTGATTACTAAGCATCGCAGCATAAAGACCGTTTTCAGCTACAAGTTCAGCGTGTGTCCCAGATTCGCGAACCACTCCCTTATCAAGCACGACTATCAAATTCGCATTACGAACTGTTGTAAGACGATGAGCAACAACTACCACAGTCCTCCCCTCAATAGCTCTATCCAAAGCCATTTGGACAAGACGTTCTGATTTTGCGTCAAGTGAGGACGTTGCTTCATCCAACAGCAGCAACTTCGGCTTTCTAATAAGAGCTCGAGCGATTGCTATACGTTGCTTCTGACCACCTGACATTCCGCCACCTCTTTCACCCACAAAAGTGTCGTATCCCTGAATTCATAAAATGATAACAGTTCAAATTTTAGTTGGGTAGATAATATTACTTCTGGTAAATGGCCTAAATTTCAACATTGTTGAGATGGCTTACATCTGGGAGTTGTTGAATGAAACCGTGAGCGTTGGCAAGCTTTGCAGCTTCTTCTATCTCATCTTGAGTTGCATCCAGCTTCCCTAACCTTATGTTATCACTGATAGTTCCTTCGAAAAGTACCGGTTCTTGCTGTACACAGCCTATCTGATTACGATAAGCTTTCAGGTCCAGATTCTTGATGTCCTCATCCTCGATTAATACCTAAAACATCAAATATAATACAACATGTTTAGATTAACGGTAATTAAATAACGAAACAAAATAAAATAATCTTGTCAGAAATTTTGCCCGGATCCAAAAGAGTGGTTTCACAGTAGTCGGAGCAGTGTATGGAAGAAATTACAAAGAAAATAATATTTGCAAAACTTCCAGTGGTTGAAATTAAAAATAGCTCTAGTATCTAGAACTCTAGACGTCAAGTCTGTCTCTTCCTTGATCAAATAGAACTTCACAAACGATTTTGTAACTTTTAACATCCATTATCTGTTTGTTTTTCTTTACTCCCTTTCGCATATATTTTCAAGTATCTGATTAGTTAAACAATTATTATTATTTAGTTTTGTTGACTTTAATCTTAAAACTTATTCTTTTACGTTTTGACCTACAACCAGTATTGAAACGCTGATTCATACTTCTATCGAAATCACTATTCTTATTATTACTAATATACCCATCAGCTAATCATTAATTCGTACTTTTGCCTATGTAGTCTACTTTATTGTTATAATTGACTCATAAACTTCGTTTGTCGGCTTATTGGTTTTCACATACACACAAAAGCACTGCTAAATACTGCAGCAAATCCTAATGACGATCTAACTGAAAACATGTGTGTTGTTCAATGAAAATGGCCAACAAATTCAACTACCGATGAGTAATTTATTACAGAATATGTATTTAGATCGCTTCAGGAATATATTCATGAAATTTCATTACCGTGGATAAGCAATTTTAGTAGTGGAAACGCACTTATCACTTGGATAAGTCTTTCATCCTCTATTTACATGTATTAATGAGATGAATCATGTCTCAAGTTTATGGGACATTTCAGTTATAAAACTCATTGTTAGAGTGTGAAGTAACCACCCTTGTTTAGAAAGCACAAATACTGCATAGACACATCTTCTAATGAAACCTGTAAAAACATATCAAAATGAAGCTACTTCAAAGTACTGCATACCTCGCCTTTCGTTGGGTCATAAAATCTTTGCAACATATGAACAACGGTACTTTTCCCTGAACCGCTCGGTCCAACCAATGCCACAGTTTGCCCACTTTTGATGCTTAAACTAAAATTCTTTAAAACCTACAAAGTAGAGTTAGTACACACGTATATAGCAGACGGTGCACTCAAATTGAGTAAAACTTAATTGCATTTAAAAGTAAAGGGATAAATGTTTTCTCATTGACATCTCATATGCTCTTATCGCCAACCAGTGTAAAACGATGAAAGGAAATATTTCTGGCGTTGTTCATTAAATAATACAGGAGATAATCTATGCTAATTTATGAGATGACATCTATAAATAAAACGCAGGAAAAGCTATTCACGAGACGATTGTTCCTGTCACTGGTTTACCGTCATGTTAATGTAACAATATAGGTATGCATAGACCGAGTGGTGATACTAACATCAGTTTAGTATGGAAACATAGATATCTTTTCACTTGTATCTTTATAAAATTTCCCAAAAATCATGTATAACCACTGGCTGAAAAAAGCGATGACACACCAAAGCATATCAATAAACTTCAGATCTTATATTGACTTAGTGAGTGACATGTTTTCAGCTGAAGAGTACCCAAGACGGTGTACAATTATATTATTTCAAAAAACATGTCCATACATCCAAATTGCGATTTATGCAAACATCTTATTGAAAACCTAATAGTGTAGTATATGTTTGATCACTTCCTGGGTGTTTTAAAACAGTACAGAATCTGGAAGAACATATTTTTCAATATCTCTCCATCCACGACAACTTACTTCAGTCACCTTTTAAAAGTTACTAAACTGGCACATTAGCAGAGATTCTGATTTACTCACTGCAATATCTGGTCGACTTGGGTATGCGAAAGAAACATTTCTGAATGTGACGTTCCCAGAAAAGTTCGGAATCAGCCTTCCGTGACAGTCTTTGTCAATTTCCGGGACCTGAAATAAAGTAGTGGGTATAAAGTAGTTAGCGGCTTCCTAACAAGCTACAACAAATCTGAATGATATGTCGGCAGTTTGCCCGGAAGCAAAAAGAATAAAAGTGATAAACAATTCAATCCCATTGCATGCTGCATGAAATTACAAACAAATTCATTAATTTAGAACAGTGTATCATTAAAGTTCAGGAAACAATTCACCTCAAATACGGATCAATATCTCAAAAGGCCTAGCAGAACTCTACAATCAATTATCCGGTAATCCGTACTTTAAATGCGCTGGATATCAACATCAGTAACTGTTATCTAAAGACTTGTGTGAAGTAACAAATTACCAAACATTGTTCTATTCATAACACACATGTCTTCGTTATTTGTCCCTCTAACTTCCTTCTGTGATCTCATAAAATCTCACATCGTTTTTGTATTTGTGACACAGGACCGTAACTACATTTTCTACAAACCCTGTGTTTTGAACAATTACAAACGTTTAACATCACAAAATAGATAGTTTCAAAACATGTAGATATCCTTAAAGTCTGAACGCCAGTCTTATCACAATTCCAAATACGGAGTTACTGTAGTGTTGGTTACTGTTTCCATTGTCAGACATCCAAAAGAAAATCCAATCACTTTCAGAGAACAAAGGTAATCACAATCGACGTGCACTTTATTTTCAACAATCAAAGTTTCTATTTTGATTTACTAGTGCTGAAGAGCGTTAATAATCAGTCGGGTATTTCCCATTTTATATTATTGTAAATGGGACATAATAGTAGCTTTCATCTCGAAGACTGTACTTTGTTACCGTTATTAATTTAAGCTTGAAATTGTAGAATAGGAAATATTTCTTCAGTATTTCTCAAACGAATGGCCAGTGAGCATGTAAGGGAATATTTCTTATAAAGCTATCATAAAACAATTGATCAATGACATCTAAACAACTTTACAAGATAGGTTGTGGGATAAACTCACACGCTCGATAATACTGTAAATTTCAGTGGCTGACGCCTGTGCGTTCATAAAATATTGGAAACTTGGTAGAGCGTTACCCAGAAAAACACTTCCTAAAAGAACATTCACGAAAATCTGGAAAGGCATAACAATAATGAGTGAAAACTATAGAAGTTTCAATTTGACGTGTTACTAAGATATACAGGTGATGAATATACTGAACGGTCATTTTCAATTCTGAATCCTCACTCGTTTCTTCTTAAAACACATGCAGTTACCTCTTAAATACAAGCCTTAAACGATTCTCTTATCAGATTGTAATCGAATAATTGATTGGCCATACCTAAAATAATGGCCGTAAATTATAAACGTAAAAGGTGAAATGTAATCTTTCGTAAGATTTTTAGCTCTGTAATGTAAAAATACATTGCTCAAATATTTACTTTTTTCAGTGAAAAATTTTCATCCGGTAAAAATATAGAGCGTAGGAAGAACGTATTTTGGGATATGGATTCATTAAACAAACAAACTTATAGTACTGGTTAATTTTATACATTGGACATCACATGCATTTATCATAACGATTATTATGTAGGTAGCTTGATTTGACATTGACAAAGGAAATAATTAGTGCAGATGTTTACTGTTTTGTGAATTATAACAAACAACTACAATTATTTTACAATCAACAGGTTACGTTGAATTGCTAAACATATACTGCCAAACTCTTTGGCTGCTTTTTTTCCGGACTACCTGAGGAGATTCAAAGGTAACGAAATTAATTTGATCTTAAGAATAGAAAGAAATTGGACCATATGAATTGTTTTATTAAGGGACTCAGACTTCGTGATTATTAAGAAACAATATTTTCAAAATTAAGTCCACTTTAGAAATGACATATTTTCATCTCTAATGATAACTCATAAACTTTATGAAATGCAAACATTCCAGAGTAATGATCTTCCCATTCAATATATTGTATGGGGATCTAAAGATGTGTGAATAAAATGCCAAGCACATTGCTTCACTAATTACTGGAATCGGGATTTTGTTTTAAACAACTTATTCTTACAAAGCCTCCCTCTTAATCTTATCATAGTAGATTTCGAGATTTATGTCAAATCACTGTTTGGCATAAAAGCTAAGATTACATACCGTCACAATAGTTCCAGCGTCATAATCTTCATTTACTATTAATTTAAAGCCATACCAAAATAGTAGAGCAGTAGAACAAAACACAGTCAGTCCAATTGTCCCATTAACTAAAAGTAGGAAAAATCACAAGTCGGTAATTCATAGTACAGTATTGAGCTGCATAACATGTACACATTCGCTTCTCCTCTTTATTGCAAACCAATAAAATTAAAATTTCCTCCATCAAATGTGCACGATTAAGTAGTTTTGGAAGAATTTCATTATTCTGTAAAGTTTTCTCCGAAATCTTTCATAGACATGGAGTACCTACTTTTTAGTTAGAAGTATACGAACCTATAAAACCTCGATATACTTGAGCATCGTTCTTTTCTTGATTTGAAGGAAGTCAGAACATATTCAATTCTTACGAATTTCACTTGCATAATTATGCCAACTTTTATGTAATTCTGATTAGAAAATGCGAGTGCTGATAATTCACTGATGAGAACGTAGCGAACAAACCATCAAAGGAACTAATTGACTGAAATAAATTGAGTCCACACTAGTTTGCCCAAGCTTTAATCTTGCTACGTCAACTTATATGTATCCTTCTCTGAATGACAATTGTGGCATTTGTACTCATTGTTGATTCCTTTGTACTTGATTGAGCGCTGATTACGAATTCCAAATATAGTACGTTCATTTGTGCTAATCTAGTTCTACCTGACTTGAATTGCACTATTTCGGGAATTCTTAGTACATTAATTCGAATACAACCAATCGTCATACAATCCAACAAAATTCATCTGTTGATGACACTCTGGATTCACATGACAGATTAGTCAGGTTGTTCAATGAAACGTTTGACTTTTGATATTGTTTCCGTACTGCAGTTAACAAACAGTAATGCTGATGGATACCACTGCATTATCAGCAATCTAGTTATAAAGGATAGATGAAACCATGCATATTTTAGCCTGTAATCTCATCAAAATACTTTTACCTCATACTTGTATCATTTATCTAAATTATCGAATGCCTGACATTTGCTGTCTGTAATACATACAAACAAGTGCACATTATCCTTCAAAAGGACAGATTATAACTGAGGACAGTGAGAGCAGATACTGCATCCAAATATTGTCATATTTACGATTGAGATATGCAATCTAACTTTTAAAATAACCGTTTTTTTTCTTAATTGAACATGTTAGCGGAACAGACTAACGATTGCAAATCTCAGACGACAACAAATCAAGTTCTGTGGTTATTACACATGCCGGTACTTACCTGCACCTGATGCCACTACTTTCTTCAGCCCAGCTTTTTCTGCCGTTCCCAGTTGCTCACGGTATCTTTTCAACTCCCTTTTCTCTCCACCGAACGCAACAACGGTGCGTATAGCTTCTAGGACTTCGCAGGCAACAGCACCAGCGCGTGCGTATGCAACTATTTCCTTGCGGGTGAAGTATTTCATCAGAAACCCAAAGCACCCAAAAACTGCACCGATGATTGGCAGTATAGCGCAAGCAACCAAGGCAAGTTTCCACCCCACTGCGAAGTTAATTATAATACCTACTATGAATCCAGACAAGTTTTTAATGAAATCGGTCAATGTTGAACCCATCCCTAGTTGAATGTTGTCAATGTTATGAGATAGTTTGCTGATGAGTGATCCAGATGACTGTTCATCAAACCATGCAACGTCCTGGCGTAAAATGCTCTGAAAAATAACAGTTGGCAATGTTTTTCATTAAATCTAAACAGATTGGCATATTAAATAACCGAAAATTTACTTTTATGAGAAATAACCAGAAAATTTTATGCCTCAGTTATTTAAAGCACAAATTTTTACTTCCAAACAAAGCAGAACTCACCTAGTTTGCGTTCCGACATTAAAGCTTGTTCAGAAAAGTTTGCTATTATTTGTTAAATCACTAGTTTTTCTGCACGCCTCTACAATGTCATCGTGAATCGTTCATAGAGCTTGAGGTTATATTAACTGGTTTGAATAAGCCTAGTTTTCTTACTGATATTTTCAAACCAAACACCTGACATAAGACTAAGCAATAAGATAAAATGTGTTCAAAATACATTTCAATTAACAGTAAGCTTCTTATTATTCAACCGTAACTACCGAATGAGAATTGGGAGAGATTCGTTAACAAAAACACTAGATCACCACGTCGCAAGATTTTCTATGACCTTAACTTGGCTACAATAAAAGTTTCAGCACTCTGTCCTCTTGACAGTCAATTTACTGAACACTAAATTTTGTCTAAACGATTATGAATTTCAGAACTATATGTAGTATTATTTAGTTATTCCTTGTACAATACCAACTCTGTATTCGAATGCGCTAGAAAACATTTGTTGTTATTACAGTTGCTCATTCAGTGTAGTTTAAAAAATAAAACCAACTTTCAAGAAGCAGTTAAATAAACATACTCTCTTAGATCTCATAGACATTAGCATGTAAAATGAATTCATTTTGAGTTGCATTTGGAATGCGAGACACTATTTTAGTTGGTTTTCATCCAGACTATCATTCTTGCTTATTAATACGTCATCTAATACTAACATGTTTTATATAAACAATGATTCCTGTAACATAATGCTCCAGAAAACGTAAATAATAAAAAACATAGTCGACTTACTGCTAGCACTGATGTAAATAACAAGATAGGTTAAATATCTGTTACAAAAACAAATGTGTTGTTAAATATTTTTACGATAATAGACCATGTTCATTTATTAAGCATTCACTTTCATTCATTGTAAGTAGAACTTTCTTTCTTTCCAAGTAAACTATGTAGGTGAATTAAGACAGACATGTGGTTACACAAACCAATTATATATCTCGATATTTGCTCTCAGCAGTTTATTCCATTCTCAAATGTATTGAGTGAACTTGACAACGGTTGAAGCTAGTAGATGGATTTTAAACAAAGTTACAACTTGACTAACGGTAGAGTTTTCAATTATATACTAGCACATAGAAATCTGAGATAAAAACCCTTATGAATTCGCTTGAAAAAATAACCATTCGTTGATTTCAAAGTAAACGTCAACCTAGATACTAAATATTTAGTTGATATCAGCTGACATGAACAATAAAGTCCGGTGAGAAAATTATTCCGAAATATTTATAATTTGAAAAGACTGGAAAATGTACATTACTCTGAAATACAGCGAACGTATTCGGTTAATTTGCCTGATTGTGAACAAATTGATCAAGAAATCTTGACCGAATGCTAATAATAACACTGTAACACCCACAAGAGCAAACCATTTAGAATATACATAGATGCTTTCTTTGAGAAAAATTTCCTCGGTGAAGTCATTGACTACACCCCTCAGTATAAGAGAATGAACGGGTAGTAAGGCTCCAACTATTGTAGCGAAAATAACTGCCATGAATAATGCGCAATACTCGCTTTTATCTGTATTTCTGAACTAAATTATTTTTTAATAAACTACATTTTAATATAGATGCTTTACCAGTGCCCATGGTTTACTTTTTTGATACATGTGAACTTTGTAGTTAATAAATTAGTCGCCGTTAGCAAAATACTTCTCCCTTGAGCACGATATTCAATAGTATCGATCGAATAGGTGTAGATGATCTGCCTCAAACTGCGCAATTAAACAAGCTTTGATATTACACAACATATTCGAAACACCGGATGTTTTGATACACGAAGTAATCTGGCAGTATGAATTTTTTGGAAATATTGATGGAATATATCCATGTTTTTAGTTATCTATTTAGTAAATACCACTTATATTTGGTTACATCTTAGGTAGTTAAGGCCAACAACAGAAGAAACAGAAGAGGTACAAAAAAAGTCACGGACAAAAACAGATACACTATTTTATCACCAATCAACTGGGTTATACGGAGGTGGCTTAGCTTACACCATTAAATCTGCGTGTCTCACTCGTACCACACGGCCTCTCACTGACGCTTATGCGTCATTGAACGATGATTTGTCGACCTAAGCATGACTCTGCAACCTAACTGTAAGGCATAGCCTATTATTGCATCTGGCTTTTCTCAGCTATATCGGTGTTTGTCTCAACAGTGTTACCTCACCTCACTTCCTTACTAACCCTACCAGTGTTAAACACAATGAGCATACGGCCTAATTTCTGATGTATTAGCCTGAAGGCTTACTCTCTGGTGTCTGTGCCCAAGTCTCCATCTTAAAAAGTCTTCATCGTCATCGCGGTTATATTTAGCCTCAGATCCTTTAATATTCATGCTAACCCAGCTTAAGTCATTCATCTTCAACCGTCAGTGTAACTTAGGTTTTATACAACTGGCTCACTGCAATTATTCTATTTTCTCGACAAAGGATGAGGACGGAACCACGTGTGATCTGAAGCTGACCTCAGTTCTGGTCCTTTCAACAGGGTCCAACTGTAGCACTCTTCCATTACAGCTCGTAATTATGTATGTCTTAACTCACATGCCCTTAAGCTGTACTGACTTCGTATTTACAACTAAAGATGCCACAAGTACACCTTAACCAGCAACACCTTTTGTAATGGAAACATGCCAACCCAGTCAAATCAGAAGTCAGAAGCGAACAGACTCGAAGATTTATTTCATAGAATATCGATATATCGAAAAGTGACTAATCATAGCTGGCTTGAAGCACTAGCGGTTGTCGAAGAGATGAAACACTGAGCACTAACTCGTGGTCTGGCGCAGTAGCATGACTGTGCGCCACTGAAATTAATGCTGTCAGCATCAAATATCGAAAGCTTACATAGGTATTTATTTTGAGGACTCATTTAACGCTCCAAAATGTTATAGGTCATCACAAAATTCCCATTAGCACCTGTAAGTGATCAGTCTCCATATAATATTTGCTGTCTCAACGTACACTTACAGACTCAACCTAATTCTAACACGCGATCAAAGACAAATCGCCAGACCTAGACTTGAGACGATAACACAACTAATAAATGATAATCAAATTGTTAGCTAATAAGCGTGGCAAGATAAATTATTCTTTAACCACGTTGCCTAGCAAGGTGACTGGAATAAGCGTGACCACAAATGGCACCAGCCGTTTGACACTTTCCAGTGCAAATTATTCAGAAACAGTAAATGTTCTAATAAACTGTACAATAATATATATACACTAATGTAAAAGTGTGTCGTCTCATACTTTGCGCTTCCTTATGGGATACTGAATCATTCGAATATATATTGTTAGGCGGCGGAGATATTATATCTTAACCTTCGTGCTGGCGATCAATCGAACCATCTAAGAAACTAAACTTTCAGACATCCCTGATAAATCAGCCATTTTAGTCTACACATCTTCTGTTTCTGAAAATCCGTTTTCGCTGATGTGGACGTTGTAAACCGTTTCAAGTGGTTATTTATTTAGAATTCACTTGTTAGGAACGATTACTACACCCTGATCTGCGTATTTTTCCCAGGTCACCTACAATTATTTCACACATGTAGTTATAAACTTTTTGAATCACCTATTTTTAAACTAATATTTTAGGTACTTTGTCTCCATGTCCTGACAGTCCATTTGTACTGTTTTCTCCTTTTGTACAATCTCTCATCACTTAGCAAAAGCAATTTATTCGACGTTAAAAATTCGAAGTATCTAGCACCATTCGTCACTTGATAGTGGCCTAATATGTAGAACCCCTTTGGACTTGCTTGCAAACTTCTCATGTACCAAATACTGCCACTCGTGGCGCTCGACATTTGCTCTTCTATGCATATTAGTCTTTCACATAGATCTTCACAACAACTAACCTGGTAGATTTTCACCCTGCATCTGCATGTAACAACCGTTAATAATGATAGAAATAATAGAACATTCTAAAAGTCAATGCAGAATGAACATCAGTGTCTTTGATTTTCATCTTCAAGCTTATATAAAGACTACTGTATAAATGGAAAGTATTTTTATATATACTAACCTAAATATGCGTCCAATAACACACCATCCTATGCTTTTTCACTACTTTGGAACCCTCAAAGTGATCAACCTTATTTGTAATCCTATAGAATTAATCGAAATTCCACTTTTAAAATAAGCTAAAATAAAGTATGACATGACCTCTGTCCAACATCGCACTAGTCACTGAGGCCTGACAATGACGCTAATTGTGCAGAAATTTTTCGGTCATGAGCTCAATGATTATGCCAGTACAATCAACCTTGAGTTCACAAGCCCGAGCAAATAATCATTTGAGCAACTAAATGGTACTCGTGGTTCCGAACTGGGATATTCTAAAATCTATCATTCACCGAACCAGCTTTACCTTGAGTTTCTAAAGCTTTCAAACATTTTGTATTTGTTCAATCACATCGATAAACCAGGTTTTTAAACTTATTTAAACTAGTCGGTTAGACGATTTAAGTGTTGTTGCACATTAAACAAGTCCACCCAAACTGCATTAATGAAAGTCAAAAATAATAGTAGCATTTAGAATTTCACTAAAATGTAACACTATTTGATACAACTCGTCCAACTCTTTCGAAGTTGGGCAACAAATATCAAGTAGATTTACGCTTACGAACCAAATGAGGCCAAAATCAATGTAGTTAGATAGCTGAATAGGAAAATTTTGTATATAATCGTAAATTTATCAGTACAATAGTTGTGTAGACAAAGATCATTACACGCTATCGACAGTCTGGTCTATTTGAGTCTCGAAAACAGGCTAAGACTTCCTCCTCACTTCATTTGATAGAGTTCGATCATCAGATCTTAACTTCACCCGTTTCACTGACTTATGTATGTTGGAAACCACTTGACGCACTCAATCTAAAAGTCATTCATTCCTATTATCTGTTAGAGGCGATGGTTGAGTCATGGCTCATTTTCAATAATTAGCCAGGAATCTTTGGGCTTGCTCATTAAGTGCAGACATTTGCTGTATGTGCTAGAATCACTGTCTCTGTACTTCAAACATATGTGAGCTGAGTTTGCTACGTTTTCCTCAGAAGGCTAATATCTTCATAGGCCCATGATAAGAAGACTATGGATGTCCAAAATTCGGTTCACCCGCATTGAATGTACAAAGCACTGAAGTCTAATAATACGTCAAAACAGAGAGTAGATAAAGGAGCCTCACATCGATCTCACCATTTTAGTGTTTATTCTATTACAGAGATGAGCTTTAAACGTCCCCGACTGACTATTCTTGTCACGGATTGCCGTCTCTTCCTTTCATTCAAGACAGGATTTGCTTAAACGATATGGCTTCAAGGTTGGTTTAAGTGTCATAAAGTGAGAATACAGTTGTTGGAATGCGCCACCTAGTTGCTAAGTATTTTGACTTATCGGTCTTAAAGACAAAGAAATCAAACATTGTATTCCAGGATGAACTCAAACTACAAACTGTAGAAAGTATTTTAAGATTTATAGTCTTGAAACGGCAGCTTTATCATAAAGTAGAATCGATCTAAATACTTCTGAACATATCGCCACACACCGCCAACAGATGACAGGTAATTGCTAAAGCATAAACTCATATCTACCACCTCTCGAACATTAGTGAACAACAGATAAAAAAGAACTAAATACAACTGGGGACGAACTGCATTTCGCGGCTACCTAACCTAACCTACTCTCCATACTCAAGAAAGTTGTTTCTAAATGCTGTAGTTTGTGTACTGACAATTCAAAATCGTCTACTAAATTAGAAACCCATATTTTAGAGGGTGACTCAGCTTGAGCGTAACGGTTTAGCAAGCTATTAAAACTACTTGATATTTTCAACGCTTACTCGCCAGCAGAATATTTCTTCCAAAGCCTGTTCAAATTCTGTAACCTACGAAGTTTCGGTTGTATTTATAAACCTTCTAGACCCCGCCTAACTTCGTGGATTTTGAAACGATGACATCAATCTACAGAATATACTGACTTATCCGCTTTTTAAGATGAACCATCCTCTAATTGAGAAGCGTAAGTGCAACAAACTCAAGTTTTCTATTTCTCAGATGTATAGAAACTCAACCATTTAGAGGAATGGCATTTGCTAGATTTGCAATAAACAAGAGTGAGTAAATATAAGGATCACTAGTGGCATTGAGCCCTAATGCGAAACAATGTAGGAAATAGACATTCAACATTTAACACGGTGAAAAACTCAACGAGAAAAAAGCGGGAACAACGAATTAAATTCATTGGAGTTGATCGAATGGCATGGCTCGGCCATGCAGGCGTGGTGCTTGCTGAATGTTATCTTATATCTTTTATTCATATTAAATATATTGTTCTACCTCTAGCCTAAGCTTGTCCTACATCACGTATTGGCGATTGTTACGATACGATGAGTTGGTGTAGACGATGGTATGACTTCTACGTAAGATCTTATAGATTAGACAGTTATATCATGACAAGTCTACAATTTTAGGATTAGGTCTATTATTAGCGCAGTACTAATATCATAGTAGACTATAATTCTACAGACCTCCTAATTTTTGTTTCTTCACTACTTGATCAGTAAGTAATAATGCGCTGAATATTCCTATTTCAAATAAA